AGAACTCGCCAAGAATAAATATCACGATAAACAGATTTGTGCTCGAAGCCATATTTAGTCTCAAACCAACAATTATAGGCCAAAGAAGGACGAAGACGGTGTCATGATGTCTTCAAGTTTGTATTTCATTTCTGACTTCAGACATGTATTTCATTTCTGACTTCAGACACTGAACACAACAGGATAAGAGTGGGATAGAAAATTAATGTCTTTGTTTAAATGTACGAGAAAATTTATAGTCGTAGCATCTGCTAGTGCGTTCAAAATCAATCATCTATTTAACAGCTGGCATTAGTTTGGTAGTGGCGAATAATACAGTGGTAGTGATGTCCGTCATCACGAGCATGGTGCTAGTTCGATTCCACACCGGGTCAACCAAGCCCTCCAACCTTCCGGGGTCGGCAACTTGGTACCAAACTTGTCTAGGAGGATGGCAGCACTGGCTCGATACATCGGTAGGCCATCGTGAGTCACTGTAAAGGCCAGATATACATTCAATCACCTCCAAACGATTCTTAATGACGTCGAATGTATGGAGTATACCTCAGAGATTGATCAACGTCGAGAACTTCATCCTTTGCCCTTTTATCAGTCGCCGGAACACAATCCTAGCCTCATCCTTTATGGCATAAAATAAACAACTGAACGGTTGCTGATGCGATCATCCGATTTGTTCCTACAGGATCGAAAGTGAGTTTTGGGGTGGTTCGTGTCTGCTAAACATGAAACCTTGATCAACTTCATCAAACATGAAGATTGGAAAAAAGGATGGAATCAGACTCCAGTGACAGTGACGCATCACCGCTGTACGACAGGAATTATGAAATAACAAATAAAGGACAAAGGATAAAGGTCTTGGCGTTCATCAATCCCTAAGGGACGCGCCATTCATTCGACTCCACTAAGCATCGTTTGGAGGTGATTGAATGCATATCTTGCCTTTAGAATGACTCGCGGTGGCCTACCGATGTATCGAACCAGTGCTGCTATCCTCCCAAGCAAGTCTGGTACCAATTTGCTGACCCCGGAGTGACGGAAGGCTTGGTGGGCCAAGGGCGCAGGGATCGATTCCACGTGTGTGTCGCAGCGGCGCCTCCAACCACTGCACCACGCGCGCCCACAAACTCACACCGATGGCTTGCTAATAATGGCAGTACCAGAGGACAGATAGTAGGACAAAGCATCAGGCGGTAGAAGATGATTCGTTAGAAGTATATGGTGATTGTGAGAGGGGGTGTGCGAATAGAAGACTTTCCAGTTGAAATGGAGACCTGTCCATAAGCCAAAATAACAACTCCAGTGTGATTTCATTCAGACAGGGCAACATGTATTCTTTATCGTTTGGAACCACAACGGCGATCGGATTGTGGATCGTAAGGGCAACAAAGTTCTGAACAACGGTGCATTTGAGCGATGCCTATGCGTAGGAAGCCGGCACTCATTCACGTTAAACAAGCTCCCTATGACTATTTATACACCTGTTCAGCAAGTACGAGGTGTGACTTTATTCTTTACTAAGGAAAAGCTGATGTCACGGCGGATTTCGCCCTTCTCAGAGTCTGGAAAGGTCAAGTTGAATGCAATCTATCCGGCCAGGTGGTTATGGAAGTGTTTGGCTGGGTAGGTTGCAATCGACCTAAGCATTCCAGGCTAAGGAAGGCAAAATCCTCCGAGCAGTCAACTTTTCCGTAATAAAGAATAAAGTTGTACTTTGTCCTTACTAGAGTATATAGAATTATTGGATCAGTGCCAAGGTTAATAGAAAGTCGGTCGTGGGAATTGCTACAAGACGTACAAGCTCCCCAAGGTTCCGAGTCCCAACAGGCACGAACTATGAGGTACACAATCCGCGACAGACTTTGAACACTAAATCTGTACTGAATCATTATCTTTCCATTGTAAGTTTTAAAACCTAAACCAGTGGTCCGAAAACAATTATTTTCGTGCGCTAAACTAGGCATAAGCCCAAGACTTAGGCATAATTCCGTTCAATTTGTTCCAGAAGCTACCATGAATCTCGAAAACACTAAAAGAAATCCCATAACCCCCTATCTAGCTCGCTAACAGCTTCTGCTTCCGCGTTAGCGCTTATGCGCCCAGCGTTGATTTCTGGACGGCTGAGAAAAAAGGAGAACTCGTCCGCGACTTAAAAATGGCAGTACTAGTTTCTTTCTTCGACAATAGATGATGAATTTACAGTTTCTATAGAACTTCTGGAGTTGAGAGCTTCACAAAATCACGGAAGAGGCTTTAACTTACCCAGCTATAGCTATATATTTTGCTGTGCACTACTTTTCACTATTGCTACCACGCTAGCAAATTGTTATTAGCATTTAGAAGGTTCTCACCGCGTACATTGAGCGTTGCTCGGTATTTCTTACATTCATCCATTCCACACGGTGACAACAACCCATCGTAACAATTCCAACTAGAGAAGCAGCGAATTAACAAAAAAAAAACGCTCTCGACGTTGATCAATCCCTGAGGGATGCGTCATACATTCGACTTCATTAAGCACCGTTGTAGGTGATTGAATGCACATCTAGCCTTTACAATGACTCACGGGGTAGCCTAGCGATGTATCGAGCCAGTGCTGCTATCCACCCAGACAAGTCTGGTACCAGTTTGCCGACCCTGTAGGGATGGAAGTCTAGGTGAGCCTGGGGCGCAGAGATCGATCACATGCGTATTGCATGGCGCCTCCAACAACTTCGCTACACGCGCACCCTGCAGCAGGGAATTAGTGGTCAAAAATTGGACATTATATGACCTGCATCATTTTTATTTGTGTGAAAGATGCATCTATAATGAGGATGGACGGTGCTTAAAACACAAAGACCATTTAAAACCAACGGGGAACCTTCCTTACTTTAATCACTCTTTTTCCCATTTAGAACATAGAATTTCCTAGATTGATCCGCAAGTTCTTTCTTATGGGGCAAAAATCCTCCTCAGCCATAGTTTTTGAATTTGTTTCGCCACAATTCCTTGCTTATTGTAGAGTTAGAGCAACGCCAAAAATGTTATAAATAGAGATGGTACCACGATGTCTACGTGAGGATGTAAATGCATGGGTCCTATGGCGATTCCCTTCCTGTGTGTTATACGAAAAAAGAGCACTTCGGACGGTATAACTCGTATGAAATGCTGAGATATTTGCAAAACCCCGGACCACAGGTGTATGCAGTGGAGAACGAACACGCGCTGATGTCCTTACCGGAGAGCAGCGCACTTCACCACTACACCATCCGGGTACTTCGGACGGTATGTTATGTGGCTTATAGTGTACACTGCAATGTTTGAGCATGGCGTGCACTGGAAAGCTAACCACCACACAAAAATCTCTGAAGTTGAGAAAACGAAGTTGACGTTCCGATCTGGCCCAGTTGGGGTGCAAATCTATTCTACGACTCGCTGTCGTGCTGGAAAGAACTTTATCGCAAGATGACAAACCATTTTTCGATCCAAAACCCAGCGACACCTGACTACCGAGAACGTAGGTAAAGTGCTAACTGGCCGGAAAAGTATCCATGAGAAATGAAGGTGGCCAATCAAATGGAAGTTCTGTTCGAACACGCATTATTTTCACGAAGCCCGGCTGACCGAGTGTTCTCTCACCCATACTGAAAATATTTTACTAGTATAGCCCTAAAATTAACGATAATAGCCCCAAAATTATTTTTATCAGTCTTAGATAAAAACGAAAAAAGATAAAACTCTCAGCGTTGATCAATCCTTAGGGATGGGCCATGCATTTGACTTCATTAAGCATCGTTTGGAGGTGATTGAATGCATATCTGGCCTTTACAACGACTCGCAGTGGACTACCAATGTATCGAACCACTACCGCCATTCTCCCAGACAAGTCTGGAACCAATCTGCCGATCCTAGAGTAATGGAAAGCTTTGTAGGCCATGGGCGTGGAGATCGAATCCACGTGCGTGTGTTGCAGGGTGCCTCCGACCACTGCGCCACACGCGCCCTTTAGATATGTTAGTTTTAGTTTAGATATAACGAATAGTAAGCGGTGGTGCAAGCCTATGCTAAAGGGCATTGTTCGGCTTTGTTCCAGACCAATCAAGCCTCTGATACCTCTTGGGCCTATTAGACTTATTGCTATTAGACTTGTTCAGGAAAGGTTCATTCCGATCCACAAAACCTAGGAACACCCTAATACGGATGTTGCCGTTTTCTGACGGATATAGCATGATTCCGGGAAAAATCTAATCGACCTATATCCGGGAAGTTCATAAAGAATATCGAGAATCGTCAAACAGCAGATGAAGCAATGGGCAGCTCCAAAGTGCTTCGTTGGGTGCAAAAAACGAGTCAAATCTAAGCAGTACTGGGATCCACAGTATGTATTGTCAAGTCGCGTAAAACAAGGACAAAGTTAGTAAGATTGCCCATTTTTGGGGATAAACTGGGGAGAAGCACAGTATACACCAAATTCGGGACGTGCTTGTCGCTGGCAGTTATTCTCATTCGGAAATTTCGCCACACAGAAAGCATTACACTGCTGGCAAGTCCAGTTAGTAGAGCCAACTTATTTATACCGCTCTAACTTTATCTACGTACTACTACTACTACTACAGAAAGAAGGTTCACGTTGTTGACGATTGAGACCCACAAGCCCCGGTCGGGTGGTGCCGCGACGCCGCCAGAAGCGACGCCTCTGTCCGGGCGACGTCGCGTGCGGCGTCCTGGAGCGATTGCGACGCTTCTGCGCACTGTGGTTCTCGTCTGTTTTTTAAAATAATTTTTACTCTAGGAGCTTATTAATACGACATAAGGGTAATTTCTATTAGTCTAGTGGTGTTTTTCCTCAAAACTACCTCTACTTTGGCCTGTTCGACCGCTTTTCTCGTCTGAGGACGTCTCTAATGAAGTTTGTTTAGGGTCATTTTTGGCGTAGCCAGACTGTCTCTATATATTTGCTGTTATATTTTTGTGATTGATATGCTTTGCATGAAATAGCTGTACATCAATTTCGGACGAAAATGGATCCGCATAACCCTCAGGTAAGAAGCGTCATGTTTATCCCTATAGAAAACTTATTTGGTGTGGTTTCATAGACAGTATAGATGTTTTCACTATTGTGGTCTCTCGTCATCGTATTCTGATGGTTGTGCAAAGTTTCTCTCCTGTTCGGAAGAAGTAGTTCAGAGGTTTCTCCTGAAACTTATTGGCGCACAAAAACCTCTTCCACAAACGATAACTAAGCCCAAAGGTCTGGGCTCAAAAACCCCTCTCAAAAGAATTAACCTTATCTGGTTTTCCTGAATCTACTTTACTACAACGTACTCCCTTATGGGTAGTTGGATGGTTCGTGGGTTTTTTTTGGTTTCGAGAGTGGGGGTTGGTTGGGTTTAACCTTCAACTTAGAATTGTCATCCTTAGCTTTATAGAGAACGGATTCACTTGCTTTATTCTGTGAAATTCCATGGCTTTTCTTTGCGTTTTTGTAGTGACCTTACAAAAGATTGCTTTGTTACTTTGAAAGGTAGGAGAAATTTTAGGGTAATGGAAATATCAACATGGGAATACAAGGCCAGCAAATGGGGTCTCAGGCTCTAGGACAAACTCAATACAATCAACAGGTTTAGTTACTTTTCTGCATCCGCTCACTGGACCATTAGGGAGTTTTCAGAGGGTTTTAATCCATGCTAACATCACATTTTTCAGATGTTGTTAGCACAACAGCAGTATATGAGTAGCTTCAACCCGTTCTACGGGAACAATCAGGTACGTTTCTCTATTTGTAGCGTTGATTGGACCTGAATTTTATTGGTACCATCTCGGGTCACTGTATTCTGAATTTTTATGAAAGATGTTGTCGATGGATCCCTTTCAACAACAGCAGCAACTCTTTATGATGCAGTCGCAACAAATGCAGCCTGTCTTTCAACAGCATCAACAACAACAGGTTCGCATCCTTCATTTTTTCCTTTTTATGTTTCTTTTAAAAGGCAAAAAGGAGAAGTGATAAGGCTGTTGGCGTTGATCAATTCCTTAGGGATTCGCCATGGATTTGACCTCGTTGCACCTCGTAGATTGAATGCATGCATGACGTATACAGGGACTTATTGTGGCCTACCGTTATATTGAGCCAGTGTTACTATACTCTCAGACAAGTCCTGTACCAATTTGCCGATCCCGGAGGGATGAAGGATTTGGTGAGCCTTTAGCGTGGGCATTGACCCCTTGTGTATTACAGGGCGCCTCCGACCACTGCGCCACGCACGCCCGTGGCGCCCTTTTTAAAGGGTAGTATGTTCTAATGAGGTTTCCTTTTAATGGACAATTCGTTTCACACAATATACATCTGTAGGTACTGCAGCAACAGTTGCTCAGCCAACAACATAGTCAACAACGCTTTTCACAACAACAACAAGTCCAGCAGCAGCAAGCTCTTGTTAGTTTTTCTCTACAATGGTCTCTAATCGTGGATTGTTAACCAGGATAGTGTTGCGTTTCGATATTATTAAAATGGAGAATTTAAGCACAATCACCAGCAAAGACTTCTGGAAGAGCAGCAACGTCAAATTGAGCTTGCTCGTCAGCAACAACAGCGGCAACAGCAAGAAGAATTAGCACGACAGCAGCGAATAAAGGTGGGAGTAGCTTTTTATTTTCAGTGAGAAATTTTCGTGTTCGCTAACACGTTTGCATAAAAATACTTTATACAATACTTCTAAGGAGGCTGAAGAACAACAACGTCAGAGGGAGCTTTTGGCACAGCGAGAGAAGGAACAAAAGGAGCTGTTGAAGCAGCAAGTATGTGTTAGTGATGAAGAGGCTTGGAAAACAGTGCATGACTTTTCTTCTCCCATACTTATTTTTTTGCTGTAAATAATAGCTGATAGTTGACACCGTCACATAATCGAATACAGGAGGAAGCAGCGCGAATAGCTGAAGAGAAACGACGAAAGGAAGAAGCTGGGAGGAGGAAATTGGAAGAGTTGAGGAAGATCCGTGAAGAACAGTTGAGGAAACAACAAGAGGCTCTGCAGGTAATCATTTGTAGTGTTCACTTATCGTATTACGATGCTCAGATATAAATTTAACACCGTTTTTCTGATTCCTGAGATCCTTAGTTTTCATTCATCGAAATACTTCTGCTCTCATGATTTTCATCTCAAGGCACAACATGATATGAGAGATCGGGTAAACCAGGTGCAGGCCGGCCAAGCCCTGACTCTTGTGGCAACACACTTCAACACGTCATGTGAGTGTGTGGCAGTTTTTTAAAATAAGTTTTCTTATTTTTTATGTTTCGCATTCACACGACACAAGGACTCGTGTAGCGCAGTGGTCGGAGGCGTCCTGCAACACACATGGGATCGATCCCAACGCTCGGGCTCACCAAGCTCTCCATCCTTCCTGGGTCGGCGATTTGGTACCAAACTTCTCTGAGAGGATAGCAGGACTGACTTGATACATCGATAGGCCACTGCGAGTTTTTTGAAGGCCATATATGTGTTCAATCACCTCCAACGATGCCTAATGATGTCGAATATATGGCGCATCCCTCAGGGATTCATCATCGCCGAGAGCTTTATCCGCCATCCTTTATTATTCACGCGATTATTTTAGATGTGCGGATGGTTCCATTCCCTAGCGAAAATATGGTGAACTCGAAATTGCCATCTGTTTGTGATGCTGGGACAATGAAGTCTTTGCTAGATACACGTGATCCGGCTTTGGTACAAATGGTGTCACATGCCTTATCAAATGTTGATGTCAGTGACACGTGAGTGTAATTTATTATTATATAATATTGTTTTGTATCAGAGTGGTTTTATTTTTTCATCTGTTCCCCGTGTATCTTTTTTTATAATTCTGAGAACTTTTCACTTCATAAAAAATGACAGTAATCAACCACTATAATGCTGAGATATTTGAGAAACATGGAGCTCAAACGGAAGTGGAATCCTCGATTACCCTTTCCAGAGGCTCATGTGTTATCCGCTGCACGCCATTAAGGCATTTACCCTGCCTGACCTATGTCAAATGAATGGTTATGAAAAACGGCAACACAGAGTGAATTTGAGGCTCACTTTACGACTGCTCACTTACTTCCTTTTACTTTTTAACGAATAATATGTCACTCAGGTTTCTTACTACTTATTAGAGGCGCGTGTAGCACAGTGGTTAGAAACGCACTGAAATAGAAGTAGGATCGATTCCGCGCCCTAGGTCCGCGAAGCTTTCCATCCATCTGGGTCGGCAAATTGGTACCGTACGTGTCTGGGAGGATAGCAGCACTGGCTCGATACATTGGTAGGCGATCGCGAGTCATTGTTTAGGCCAGATATGCATTCACTCACCTCCAACGATGCTTGACGAAATCGAATGCATGGCGTATGACCCACAAATTGATCAACGCTATGAACTTTATCCTTTTTACGACTACAATTTTTTAAATAAACTTTGATTACAACTATGCCAACCATTTGCAAGCTAATTTACGCATTAATTTATATATACGTGAAACACTTACTGCGCGACAATCGTTTGATGGTGGAAAATAGTATCATTCATTTGGATGAAAGGGAATTTCCAGTGGAATTACTATGTGCAACGCGTAGCTCACTCGTCTTTGTCGAAAAATCCATTTGCATTGTTTTCATCTACGTGTTTTGCAGCATCGATGCCGTCTTTTTTGGGATTTTAACTAGTACTGACGTCATACATTACCATCCGTTTGAAACACTGTGGAAGATATGACCCATATACAACTCATTCGTTGTCAGAAGAGGTTTAGTCGTACAACGCTAAGCAAAGAAATACTTTTGAAATCAATAGGTCTATAAAATACAAAGTCAAAGGGTGGTGGATTAACTGAACAGGGTTTCGGTTTTGACTCTGGATGAATTGTTGATGTCAGAGGCTGCCGGGCTATAATTATGCCGTATATGCTTTAATGATCGTTATTAATGTTTTGTATCGTTATTTATTGTTATATAATGGTGTTCTTTATCAATAAAAGTTATTATCGTACCAATTTATCGAACCTGGAGAGATGAAGGAGTGAGAAGCGTAATGGTTAGAGGTCCCATTCATAGGTTGCTGCTTCCTCCTCGTCCTGTAGCAAGCAAGAACAATATACCTCTAGAGTCGGTACTAGACTTTTGTGGAATAAGATGTCTCCAATTCGTCAAGAATGGGGTTATCGATGGAGAAGACTTAGGAACACTTTACTAGAGCTTCCAGGGAGAATCAACAAGGCCGAAGGAGCGACATTCATGAAGTAAAGAGAGTCCTATTTGGCAGGCAAGGTCATATGCAGATCAGTAGAGCATTGTGGATGCTGGATGCAGTAGGATTAATAGGGTTTAAGAACTGCTTGGTTCCGCATAATTTGTGCATCCGGGTGATATATATATATATATATATATACATATATATATATATGTATACGTATATGTGCATATGTATGTATATACATGTATGCACATGTATACGCATATGTATGCATATATATATATGTATACATGGACATAATTTGTGGATATATCGCATTTTGAAGTCGTCAAGCAGTTTAATCGTCAAATAGTTTTCGGTGGTTGACAAAAAAAGCAGAGCAGTAGTAACACTATTGCGCAGGAATTATTAAGTTTAAATTGAGCAAGCAATAAATTTATTATGTTAAATATTATTTTTCGTCATTCAAAAATAGCATAGCGTTGTTGTTGATATTTTAAACTTCCAAAGTATTTCCATAATAATGCCGACAATTTAGGCGTACGCGTATGGACATCCACGATGGGATTCCTGAGTCCAATGATCTTCCGCGCGACTTGATGCCTCATTTCATTAACGCTATTATGGATGTGAACTGCAACGTTGGTTCTGTAGTATTGAGGTATTTCGTATTCTTTGATTCAGTTAAGATCTGTAATGGTTTTGTAGGCACTGGATGTGGAACCAGAACATAACATGGAAGCTCCCGAACACTTACTTAATGATATGGAGCTGGATCCCGCGGCAAGTTTTGTTTAAATGTGTTCCATATTTCCATTTTTAACCTTTATTACCTAATGAATATGTATTTGTAGAGAACACTGAATGCAACAACAGTTGTTTCCACACCATCCACTACAGAAATGCAGCAAAACCAAACCGAAGCTCAGGATAAGCCATCAACATCCACTGCAAATGGTGAAACGTCATTCGTCGCACCTGTTCTTGAAGGTCGAGACAATACACAACTTCGTCGTCAAATGGCCAGTGTGGGAAAACAGCCGAAGGCAAGTCAACAGCGTAAAAAGAGGGATCAGGTGAGTAATCATGTGAAAATTTTCCTAACACTGTTTTTATTGGGTAAAATCTATTTCTGTATATAGGTGGAAAGCCTATATGACTCATTAACTGATTATTTTGATCCATCCGATGGAAGGCGGCAACGGAAGCGAACAAAAACGTTGGAAGAGGAACAGGCCGATCAGGTATGAATTTGGTTGTCGAATGCCTGTCTTGTCAATGTCTTAACACAACTCATATCAGCTTATATTGGCAACTCATAGTGGTTTTCATGTGCATGTGTACTGAGAATCTGATCCAACCTCAAACTATGATGAAATCAGGATGTCTGAAAACCAAAAATCGTTTGTTTTCGCTCTTTGTCTCAGGCCTCGTATATCGAACCGTGTGTAACCACTGTTCTCTTAATCTGTCAAGTTCTCAATTTCTGATGTACTTTGGTTCTCTAAAATTTCTCTACACTTATTCAATGATTGTTTCGTCGTGAGCGTATATGAATAAGCTTTTTCATTTGATTACATTCAAAAACAACTTCATTTTAGTTGGTTTATTTAGGTACAAATGTTGCTCGACTTTTGCATCAACTTTTTTTCCTCATATGATGATTTCCTTTGTACAGCGCGATCTTGAACTGATTGCTGCTATGGAGGCTCAAAGCGCAGCGACTGTTCCCAATGATGTCACTATGGACCATAACGACGAACAGAAACGTGGAGACGGAAGTGACGAAGATCATAAATTCTATGAGAAGAGAGATCGACGAAGGAAAAGAAAAGAGGACGTCTCGGATCGGCCACCGACTCCTACCGATAGTAATATCGTTAAAATGTTGTCGTTTTTTAAATTATTGAATGTTATTGTTTATTTAGTCATTCAAAAACGTGACCAAGAGTGGTCTGAGCGACAGCGTAAGCGATTGGAAAAGTTCAGACGACGGAAAGGCAACGAAAGTGATCACGAATGCTGGAATAATGACGTGAATTTTCTTGTTGTAGTCCAATTTTTGAGGATTTAAATTTTTGTTTAATTACACATTAAATAAAACTTATTATTTTATCCAAGGTTACATACTTTAGCGCTATTTTATTTCCCTTTTTTGTTCTTCTAGAAAAATGCGGAAAACGGTGTATAACTTGCATTTTTGATTTAGAAGAGACGTAACTTTTAGGTTATGGCCGAGTATGATTCAAAAGCTCGGTTGAATATTATTATCGACCAAATCTTCGACCAGGTTGAAGACCTAGATATAATGAATATAACTCAAGATGGTAAAGGTAGTGTTTACAATTTTTTTCTATGATTTTTAATGTTGTACTGAAATGCCAAATTAGACGATGAGAGTGAGGATGATGAAGGAGTTAGTCCGGAGCTTTTGATCGACCGTTCAGTGTTGGATGACTTACGTAATGAGGTGCAGAAGCTACTGACATGGAAGAAGCTTACAAGTGTGAGTGTATATATCAGAATAAAGGTGAAGTATGAAAATAATTAGTATGTCAGACTTTCTGCTACCTTGTTGTTTTCAGATTTCTTCAGATCGTCTTATAAAATTAATTACCATATTGGAGAGAAATATGCGCTATGTTGTGAGTTCCGACGGTACTCGTTTGCTGCTACCAATAAGTAGTGAAGACGTAAATGTTTACTTACATAATTTTGTTCCTTTGTTGTTCTTCGGTTTACACATTTTGGAGAGATGCAGTCGTGTTGTTGACTCTCACCACTTCCGTCTTTTTTCTGATGTGTAGTTACTTCCAATATTTTGTTTTTTCTTTGGTCACGGTCTCTTTAGGATGGTGAGGAGTATAAGCTGACGCGAGAACTTCTTGATGATCGTTTGATTCGAGGGGCAGACTCTGCTTGTACGGCATTAATGATCATGACATGTCACAAAATGCCCAAACAGGTGCGATTCGAGTATGTTGGATCGGAACGCTATGTCGACTACGTTGTAATGTTGTAGGTGTACATAGAAGATGCGATAGAGCGGTCTATTAATTTGTGTCGGCATTACCTGAAGAATGTAATATATCCGGCATCGGACCCGTTGTATGGACCAGGACGAAAGCAAAAAAGTGCGTAGTTCTCTTAAACGTTGCTGCCTTATGCCCTTAGACCACAATACGTGGTGGTCTAGCCTAGAGGGAGTATAATTCGTTAGCGCCTGTATGTCTATCTAAAAAAATTTGCAGGTACCGCTCGCTACTGCTCGAGATTACAATTGTTAGATTTGTTTTCTTTGGACCTAATTTTTTCTTTGATTTTAGCCCTTTTGCTACTTTTTCTTGCTTTTTTCACCCATTTTAAGTTATAATGCAAATATATCATGTTGTGGAATTCCAAATTAAAGGTTATTTCCTACCTGTATGCTGAGGCATCGACTTCTAAGGACTCGTAATGCATGGCCACGGTCATGGATAACCTAGTGCCAGTGATGCTGTTCTATGTGCGTAATAACTCCCTCCAATCCACAAAGCTAGCGACTGCCTGTAACGAAGATTAAGGAAAATTCTTCCTATAAGAGCTATCTCATGATTCGAATAGGAATTGTCCCGACTAAAATTCAACGACATTCATTCAGGAGAACCTAAGTCTTCAACCAGTACCCGAATTCACACGTAGATCCGAATCTTTGTAGAATATGGATGCAAGGAAGCCAATCGAATGCAAAAATGCAGCATGTAATGCCGGGTTGCTTGAACTTAAAAAATGAGTAAAATTTTCATTGCCTTCCTCCCGATGGTTTACCGCCTCATTGTGGCGGGAGGTGTTCGGGCTGCGACGTACCGCGAGGACATTCGTCTTCTCGGCCGGGTCTCCACAAGCTGAGGATTCTGAGTATCCAAGTATCCAAGTTCTTTGCCTCGTAGTGTTAAAATCCTCACTCGCAGTTTTGGCGACTTTGAGAATATTAATGCAATGATAGACCTATGCGCGACTACGTACCATAATTATTCTTGTTGTTGATTGTTCACTGTTGTTTGAAACAATCATGTTTATAAACAGTTATATTTTGTGATGTATGCGTATTGCTCGTTATTTTAGCTGATGAGAAGCGGCGGAAGAAAATCGAACAAGTCCATCGATCTCCCACTGTACAACTACTTTATTCCAGGATGACCGAGCTTGTTCATAGTTTCTCGTACCTGGTATGTGTAGCGACTGTTTCTTTCCTTTTTGCATTTCTCACTCGTTTAATTCCCATCAAGGAATTAAAATTCCTTCATTCTTAACTCGTCTGAAGTACTCATTATTCAGGTGCGCCAAACAGATTTAGCTGAAATCTGTGTGCACCATCTAGCATCAATTGCGATCCAGGCGTTCTTCGTGAATAATGTCGGCGAACTGCAACAAAGCGTAAGCTGCCTTTGTCTTCTACTAATGTCAGTCAGGTTAAACAATCGGTTACTGTCAATTTAGGCATGTAATCTGGCAGCAAACATCTTTACTAGTGCAAAGGAACCCGTTCGGATTGGGATGTTGAACGATATCCTGAATTCTCTCCATCGCTCACCCGCTGGTAGAAATGCCAACAACGGATACCGATTCGGTCCAGAACAATGGATAAGCAATACTACAGTGCTTGTTTTGCAATTACTGCAAAGTGTAGTTAGAGTATGTCCAGTTTTTCTTCTTTGCTATCCCATTACTGCAATTTTAAACACCTTATATGTTAGAGTTTCAAACATTAGAAGCGGTTGTGGTTTCCTTTCAAGGTGCCGGAAAGAATTCATAACAAGGGCGACAAACGCGAAGATCCTGATTCAGAGCCTGATTGGCAACCAGATTCCATCGTACCTTCTTCTTATAAGGAAGTTCAAAGTCTGGCACAAGTTTTTGCTTCTGGTTTCCTAAGCAGGTATCGATTTGTGTTTTATTTAAGACGTCTTTGCTCAAGCGTATTCATTTCAGTTTCTTTTGACTAATGCTTGATAATTAAAAAATCGGAAATCGGTAAAAATTGTTCATATTGTGAATGCTTATTCAGGTGGTCCCTTATTAATAATTAGTTAATGATGGAATTTAAGTTGATACGTACACATGAATAGTTCGATCACCATGTATTTTCAATAGCTTAGAGCTTCTTCAGTCTCGTTGTTGCTATATTTCTAGCACTGTGCACAATTTTCACTTTTCTTTCCTTCACTTAGAAATTTAAGTGGTTGGGAATAAAGCTTATCGTCCCAATTTAATGCACGATACAGATATTTCTACAAGTTCAACATAAGAATCAGACAGAAGAAGCTGTGATAATTCTGCTATGCTACATTCCTTTTTTCATAATCCACAGTGGAGGCGAAGGTCATGGAGTATTTCTGTAATTCTGTTTGAACTTTTCCCAGTATTCTCGATGTTTTCTGGACATAGTTCACGGCTGTTAAAGTGTGTAAGAGATACGGCTAGAAGTTTTGTGATGTATTGCTGAGAAAGCCAAAATCAGTTGCTATCTAGACGCAGCCACAAGGGTATATGTGCCTTATTGCTACTCTAATGCGTGAAATATTCCAAAAAGAAAGAACACATAAATTTACCGTTTTTTGTGTTACTGTGATAGTTAAAGGTTAGTATTTCAAGGCCGACCTCTCTTTAATCTAGCTATGACTAATCAATACATATTCTTTCTTTGATAAGCTTACACGAGGTTGACAATTAATGTTTATTTTCGGCTAACTTTTCGGCGTCTTCGTCTTCATAAAATTCAATGATCCTAGTCGATGGTCCACTGATGGCTCTGATGAAGGCGAAGACGTCGGAACGTTAACCGAAAATAAACATTATTTGTCAACTTCGTGTAGGCTTATCAAGGAAAGAATACATATTAAAGCTGTCTTTTGCCCTCATTTTATTTACATTAATGAAATAAAGTGGATGGGTCCTATACATTGTTCAAATCATAAAATATGGTGTTTTTGTGTCGGTATCTATTTGCTAATATAAGTAGCCGTTTAGGTGCTCTTCAAAAGGAAATAGAAATGAGTCTGAAGAAGATTACCGAGCATTGTTTGATTGCTTTTTACAAGATATGCTTACCGCATTCAACAAACCCGAGTTTCCAGCTGCAGAAATGTTCCTTCAGGTTGTTGGCAATCTGCTAGTGAAAAATTGTCGGTGAGTATTCATGCAGAGTTTGCTAATTCTCTAAGCATCTCGTTCTAATTTGTAAGGAGTTAAGGAACAAAAGCGCTGATATTGCAATCCGAACGGTTAGCCTTGAATATCTTGGCCTGATTACATCCCGATTGCGGAGTAGTATGATTTGGTCGGTAGAAGATTCCAAAGAGCGTATGGACGTAAGTGGTTGTAGACAATTTTAGTTGTTATATTTTTGAAAAATAATATATAGCATTTTTAGTTGCTGTGAATATTTTTGCCCAGTTATTTACCCTTTCCCCAAAATCCTTAATAGTTTTTTTTAAAATTGCAATAGCTCTTTTAAAGGGATGCGTGCTTTTCCACAAAGTTAACTTTTTTATTTACTGTCTACTACAAATTTCGCGGCACGGTATCGTGGGAAATCAACCATAGTGGTGCTAAGATGTTTGCAAAACTCTGGATGGCAGATATCTGCTGTGGGGATCGAATACGGTATTACCCTTTCCGGGGGCTAACACATTCACCACCACACCATGCGCGTGCTTCGTTCAGCCTCTCTGTCAAGACTCCAGCCTCAGCTTAACTCGCTTCACTGCCGATGTGGGCTCCCCAGATCAGTCCCGTTCACGGGTGATTTCTGACGGTACTAGTAGATAGAAAACTGGCTGAGAGAAAGGCGAAACGAAGGACCCGCAAGGTGTGGTGGTCAACGCGCTAGCCCCCGTAAAGGGTAATGGTGTGTTCGATCCCCACCGTAGACACCTGCCTTCCGGCGTTGCGCAAATATCTAAGCACTTTCATGGTTGTGTGCATTTTTTATAGGCAGTATTTAATGTAACTGGTATTTATGCTAATCATATTGTCAATGTTTAGTTATTTTTGTCCTTATAAAAAGGTTGACCTAAATTTTGTGATTCGAATGCTTTGTTCGATCACCAGGTGACTTACAACATTCCTATTCACAATAATCACGTTCTTAGCTTGTCGTGAAAACCATCAAATACGAAGAAAATGTACAAGAGGATGGTACGTCGCTTTGGCCCAGCGTAGCGGATGTCGATATATCTGATGTAAGTTCTAAATTTATGCCCTAATGATGGAGAGGAGTCGTGTTAAAAAATGAGATAAGCGGTTATAGAACATTTGTTTTTAGATGACATTCAGTGAAAAGCAAATGGAACTAGAACGTGCTTTGATCGATTATATAATTGCTAACAAAGACATAACCGTAGAGGTTTGTTTCCATAATTTTTGCGCTCATCAAGCTCGATAACCCCATAATTTTCCGATCACAGTATGCCGTAAGGTTTTACTGCTGCGTGTGGTACAAAGAAATTCTAGAGGATCTTCAAGAGCTTGAAGCGCGTTATGCTGAAAGTAAAAGGGACAATTTATCTGAAAAGGTAAGCCACTTGCTAGAAAATATGCTATAAATCTAACGGTCACTTCATGAGTTCAGTGGCATGAAAGCTATCATCTGGTGGTTCATTAAAAGCCAAAGTGCAGCAAACATTTTTTTAGGAGCATCGCAAGAATGAGTCCCGCTTCTTAAAGAAAGTGAAGCGAGCTCAAACGCAAAAGATCTTTCTAATTGATTTGTTGAATAAAAAGAAGGACAGACAACGAAGATACGAGAAGGCGAAGTTTGTTCTATTTATTTAAATTACTTTTCACATTATTTTTTCGTTGTTTTCGAGTCTTACAATTTATTGGTAATATTTCTGCTTCAACGCATTCGCAAAGAAAGTACTTTTTTTGGGAACTGTAAGTTTCTAAAGAACTTGAGAACCGGAGAACTACAAAACTCTTATGAACTATAACTATATAATTTTTATAAAATTATTGTGAAATTTCAAGTGTGCCTAAAATTTAAGTTATTTTTTCTGAAATTGGTAAGTTCATTGTGTGGCAGTCGATGACGTCAGCGACACATTCGGACATATCATTGCAGTAGAATGAGATCTCGATTATCATCGCATTGATTTATCGTCTTCGGCGAAAAATAAACGATTTAAGGGGTTCGTAAAAGGAATACTCGTAGTTTGGAAAAAACCTGTAAATTCAAGAAGTGTTTAATTTGATTATTAAAGTTTAATGCATATATGACTAAGCCTAATTTTCTGTAACTACCAAATGAACGAAACTGTTCAGTACAGTTTTGCAACTGATCGATTCCGTCAATTGCTGGGGATTTCATACGAATTCCAGACTGCGCCTTTCTCGCTGATGATGTGGTCCATAAGAGTAATAAGGCTCACAAAATCTTAAAATAAACACGTTCAGTAGGATAAAGTATAGTACTTCGAGTCATTTGCGCGAAGCCTAGGAGCGACTTAATATGGAAAGCTATGCGTTACACTGCACTTTTTGAGGAGTTTTTAAAATGTAGAAAGGGGGTAATTGAGTACATATTAGGAAGGAACTTAAGGTGGGCCTGGACTCACTATTTGCCGAGGGGGCTCTTAGTAGAATCTCATGTCGAGACCCTATCGGCCCGTCGTCTGCTGAATAAGTTGTTTGTATGGATTTCGACTGCAAGAACTGGGTATTATATCTGAATAAATGTAGTTATTGTTGGAAGCTCGTCGTTTAACACATTAGCTACCATATGTATTGATTTCAACGCTTACATTTCTCTGGTTGGACTACATTCACTGCTCTTTTTTCGGCTTTTCTCAGTATTCATTCATATTTAAGTTTTTATTTTTATTGTATTCTTTTCTGCTTGATTTTGTTGAGCTGCATTTTGCTATTTGTAATAAGATATGCGGTATTAAGATATATCTGCTGGTTGGAGTAACACTGAAAAGAAAGTTGTTGGTGTTTCTATTGATGCAAAAAACACAAATGTTTTAGTCCCATAGTGATTCTTTGCTTTTTCCCCTGAGCTAGTAATGCAAAAGGTATTACTAATGAGGGTAAAAAATAAAGAGTAAAGTTCTCGACGTTTATCTAACCCTAAAGGATACGCCATTCATACGACTCCATTAAGCATCGTTTTGAGGTGACTGAATGCATGTCTGGCCTTTATAATGACTCGCGATCAACTGACTTGGCTGACAGTGACTGACAATGGCTTGCAGTGATAAGATAGTGGAGGTCTGGTCTTGAGGATCTTTCACACGTCGTGCATCTCATACTTCGTGTCCGTTGGAATTCGAAACCATAAGGAGCTTGCACGTCTTATAGTAATTCCCACGACCGACTTCCTATTAACCTCGGCATTGATCCAACAATTCTTTATACTCTTGCTTAGCAAACACGAGTTCTTACTTTATTTTTACTACGGAAAAGTTGATGTTTCAGCGGATTTCGTCTTCTTCAGAGCCTGGAAAAGTTAATTTGACTGTAATCTATTCAGCCAAACACCTACCACCTGGCTGGGTAGGTTGCAGTCAACTTGACCTTTCCAGGCTCTGAGGAAGGCAAAACCCGCCTAAATGTCAACTTGTTTTTAATAAAATATAAAGCAACACCTTTTGTTTGCTAAACAAGAGTATAAAGAATCATAGGGAGCTTATTTAGCAAAAGTGAGTGTCGGTTTGCTAAGCATAGGCATCGCTCAGACCCACCGTTGTTCAAGGCTTTGCTGTCATGATTCATAATGCGATCGTCGTTGTGGTTGCAAACGATGAGGAATACAGTATGCCTTGTCTGACCTAAATCCGATTGCAGTTATTACTTTGACATATGGATATATCTTTTTTTCAACTGAGAAGTCTTCTATTCAGACCCCCTACTGTCACAATCGTCATATGCTTTTAGCGAATCATCTAGTGTTTGCGGTTCTACCCTCCTACCTCTCATTTCGTAATCCCTATCATCCAGCAGTGATGTGTCATTGTCATTGAAGTCGGATTCCAGCCTTTTCTTCATATTTCTTGTTTGATGAGGTTGTTCATGATTTCACGGTCGACGGATACGAACCACACTACAATCCACTTTCGCTCCTGTAGAAACAAATCGGATGACTGCGTCGGCAGATGTTAATTTGTTCATTTTATGTCATAAAGGATGAAGTCAGGATTGTGTTTCGGCGACTGGTAAAAGCATAATGGAAGAAACTCTTGTTGTTGGTTAATTCCTGAGAGATGCGCCATGCATTCGACTTCATTAGTTATTGTTAGAAATGATTGTATGTATATCTGGCCTCTACAATGACTCACGGTGGCGTACCTATGTATCGAGCCGGTGCTGCTGTCCTCCCAGACAACTCTAATACCAATTTGCTGACCCCGGAGGGATGGAGGACTTGGTGGGCCAGGGTCACGGGGATCAATCCCATGTATTGCAGGCGCCCATGACCGCTGCACCACAACCGCTCATTGTTGATAAGGAGCGTACTTAATGTCAGTATTTGAGGTGAAAGCTCACTGGAATGCATCTGTCGATTTTAATCCACATTGTTCGCCGAGAAAATTTGGTTGTCACTAATTCTTTAGGTATCTGAATGCAATCATCTTTTCCACCGCTCCTATTGTTGATCCTCAAGTGAATCCAGTGAGCTCCAGGAAACTCTAATTCTATTCCTGTCGTGAGCAAAAGTATTCGTAGGTTCAGGTCGATTTAGAAATTAGCTGAGCATCGTATTTATCGTCTAGGGTTTTTGTGAAGTGCCGTTCATTAGGTGGTTGGTCTTCTTTTTATGCACTTGAAATTCTATGGAGTCCAGTAGCTAACGATAGTTGTACTGCGGTTGTCATTACGACTAAGCCGAACTCATTTTCGAGATCCCAGTTCACAACAGCATTTCTATTCTTTGGTCGTCGACACAGACTGGAACTTCATACTTCCCTCTCTCACTTGCGAGATATTGCCAGCAGCTTTTTGATATTGCATTCGAATAACGCTGAGTGATCCTCCTGTTCTCGTAGCGAGCAGGTTTCCCACGCTTACCTTAGAACATGAGGAATCGCATAGTCAAGAGGCTAGGCACTAGCATGTTATTTTCGATCCTCCTACAAACTCTGTGCAGCACATTCCCTTGTTTCTACTTTTGAGGCGAAGTTATTAGTCATGTTGATTTCTAAACAATTGCACATGGCTGGAGAATTCGGAGATTTTCATTACGGTCAGCATCAACATGACATCAGAAGCATCATAAACATTGTCGTGACATGCATTCTATGACCAAACTTTTCACTCGAAATCGGTCGCTTTTTTTTTCCAGTATTATGATCGGCGTTTAATAAGCGGCATTCTTTCATCTCGGTTAGTTCGATGAGATTTCACTCAACACTTTTTCATTGCATTGCCAAGTCTTCAATGGAGAATAGATGTTTGTATGCCTGCGTTATACTTACTGCTTATCATCTTAATCCTTCTTGGATCAAGCACATGGTTGCTTTTGGTCCGTGTTTAACTCCTGTGCTCCACCTGAGCACCTTTAACGTCACATTGAGACTAAGAATTCCACAGTGAGGGAGATCCGTGGAACTATCTCAGTAATAGTGCCATTTATCCGTTCTAATGTGTGCAGTAACCTATACATATACCAGGAGTGGCAACCAATTTGTTACTAAAATATTTTTTTCTTTGAATAACATGTCGACATTCAGACGGTTTGGCAACTCTATGCTTGAGTCTGATGTAGCGTGGTGTATCAAGTATCTTGCTGCTAAGAGAGAATTTACTCACTCTTTCGATTCGTTTTTAAAGCAGGTATGTTCTTCCTTTATGTTCAGTTTTACTTTGGCATCATCTTGTTTGCAGATATCACTTAATTTTAGATAGTAAATTGCATCACTAGTGAAACAACCGTGAGTTTGCGAACTAAGGCGATGCGATGTCTTACTCAAATAATTGAAAGCGACCAATCAGTTCTACTGATGGTAAGCAAAGAAATATTGCCTTAACCGTCTTTAGCTTACATACGGGTGTCGTTGATGTCTCATCATCCATAATATGCTCATATTTCATATGGTTTTCCTTGTTTTTCCAGTTTTTTTTTAGGGTTTTCTCCAATTTAGCTCGTTAATTATTGAATAGTTAAGCCAGAATGCCTTACTGTTCAGCCAGAAGTTTCTTCCGCTGCTCATAATCGAATGACTGATTCTAATGCAGCAGTTCGTGAAGCGACAGTAGAAATGATTGGTAAATTTCTGGTAGCCAACTACGATGCGATACCAACATATTACCCACTTCTTGCTGAACGCTTGATGGTCAGTCCTTTTTTTCTTTCGTCATCTTGATAACGCTGTTTTATAAATGCTGTTAGGACACTGGCGTTGCCGTCCGAAAGCGGGTTATACGAATTATGCGTGAAATATGCGAGAAATACCCAAATTTCGAGCAGGTATTGAAATAAGTTGTTTTCTGCTGGATATCTTACTTCAAAAAATACTTTATATTTGCTTATAGATCCCGAATATGTTGAGTCAAATAGTGAGGCGAGTACAGGATGAGGATGGTGTGAAGAAGCTGGTGCTGGAAACGTTTCAGTCCCTCTGGTTTCAACCAGTTTCTGAGCGTAACACGCCGGCTCTTCTTAAAAAGGTGCTACCAAATATACGCTAAACATTTTTATACGGAGAAACTGTTGTTTCAAGTATTAAAAAGTAATTACCTCAGCAAGGAATAATAGATTAGCACTTCTTACTTGGATATTTGAATGGCCCGTCTTCACTGGTTGTGCGACCTCCAGCATAATTTCCACTTTTCGAGGTTTTACTGGCTTAGTCATTGTCGTTCCCTGGAGTCTCGAGGTCGGCCTAGCCAAAGTTTGTCCCACGTCTTCACCACCACGGGCAGTCGTCGTCCTAGTGGATTAGAGGGAGGTTTGCCGCCATGCGACTAGTTTGATACCAAGATGGTGATAGATCCTGGTATTGGTTTGCTCTTAGCTTAGCTTCATGTTGAAAACGCCGTACTCCTTCTCAGCCTAGGAGGCCTAGCTGGGTGGATGAATCCCCGAGCTGTACATCACATCCCGACACCTAGGTGCACCCCCCAGCTACGTTAGGAGGATAATCACTTCAATATTACAAAGATAGTTTTCAGTTGTAAAACACTTTTTAGGTGGTGGTGATGACAAAAGTCGTTCAAATTTGCGCGGAAGAGATGAAACTTGAGACTTTGGAAGCACTTTTCCACTCACTTTTGAAGAATGGTGACAAAGTTCGTTTACATTTTGAGAATTTATAATGCATTTGGGAATAAGTTGCAAAATATTATCTGTGATTACTTTAGAGTGCTCTTTCTGCGAGTCGGCAAATTGTTGATATGTTCATGGATAACGTCCTCACACTTGAAAACATAATGGCAGCAGGTTAAGTGGTCGAAATATGCTTCAACCTTTTTTGAATGATTTCTTAAGGATGTTGCTTTTAGAAAATGGGGTTTCCGTGAATGCATCAAATGAAGATTTAAAAGTTGCCGAAGTGCACAAATCAAATCAAGAACGACTCCTTGCTTGTCTCAACACACTTACACTGTTTAGTAAGGTATGTGAGGACTCTAAGTGATTTTTGTTGCGGTGTTTGATAGAAGCTTTTAAGGTTCGTCCAGAACTTTTGGTCAGACACGCTGAAACGCTCCAGCCGTATCTTTCAATTAGCGCTACGCAAAAGTCGGAAATGTTGGTATGTGTATATGCGGTAAAATTATTGGGACAGTAATCCTTTAGGAGCAGTCATTTGTTGTATTAAGCAACTTCTATAGCATATTTTTTATGTAAACAATTTGAGGTACTGAACGAAGTGATTGGAATGCTTGAGAGAGTTGTGCCATTGATGAGCCATCCCAGTGATGCTTTTCTTACCACGTGAGTAGTTTAGTCACTTTTATCATTACTTAATTGTTTTGAAATTGGTGCAAAACGACCCTTTATCTGTTGAAGTTCTTTCGAAATTTCATTATAGTCAAGATCAAACTCTCGCTAATCTCGCAGCCAACGCAAGCGGAGTTGCTACTACAACTATGACGATCAGCTGCATCTCTGCAATTTGGCATCGTTTTGGCCGACCACAAGTTCCGGCTATTGCCACTGTTTTCAAGAATTATCTTGGTATGCTTTTCGTCTTATAATTATTTTTGTAGCTACTTCGCTAATCAGAGTTGTCCCTTCATGAAAGCGTTAAACTTTAGCTACGATTTGAGTTCTTCGAACTCAGACGTCCTATATCCTTGACTACCAATTTCGCTCACGTTTTCAGGCTTAGGCGTACCATCCTGTGCTCATGAGCCTAGTTAAATCAAATAAAAGCTTTTAGGGAATACACATATTTCAAGATATAAGGTTTCTTATTGTACTAATGAAGGGTTCTGATTTTCTGGAACCCTTATCGCTTTCTACATGGAGCATCCAAATGCTTAAGCAACAATATTTTTTCCAGCATTATGTGATAATGGCTACGAGAGAATTATTGATGCTACATCTTCCTTGCTTTCCATAAAAATATTGGGATATTGATTTTTGAAGTATTTTCGAAGGTTTGGATTCTGAATAAAGTTGAAGTGGGAATAGAGTTCCAGAAAAGCTTTGTGTGCCTATAAAATCATAGAACAGTATTCCTTCTTTAAAGCTCTTAAGTCATGCGTTTTTGAAATGCTCTTATTGTTGAAAAAAGAAGATATATTGGCAGTTGTCAAAAAACTAACGATTACTACCAATGTGATATTTGGCCAGTATCTTCACTTACCTAATAACCTTGTTAGCGTCTTCTTCTTTTAACTTTTGCAGTTTTATGTCATTGTTTCATTTCATGACCTTATAAATCACTATTTGTTTATTACATTGCAGAGTTTCTGGTGAGAGTGAAAAACGCTCTGGACAATAACAAAGGAAACCATCAGTTAGATGGGCCGAAGATTCTTCGAATACAAAGGTTTATTTCCCGTTAAATTTTTTGATTATGGATTTTTTTGCGCTATTTTGTGCAGTTATTAAGAATTTGTTTTCAGCTTTTGTAACATTCCACTATTGTAGATTCCTTTGTGGTGTCGGCGTTATGGCGCGATATTTCGACTTTGATTCAATCATCGAAGATCCCGAATTCGAGCGGAAAATATTTCCTGCGCACCTTATTCGGCCGGATTTGTCTTTTAGTACTGCGGATGTATCTGCATATCACAATGAAGACAAACCGCGGTGAGTTTATAGCTAGAATCGAATGTATTTTTAGCAGATTATATTGTATTTTTAGGCGGATCCGTGACAATGTATATGATGTTCTTTTTTTCTTCTCACGCAGTACTGTGCCAAGCATGCGTTTCAAGGCATTTGCTGCTCTTGGTGAGCTTATGTCTCATTTGTAACGGCTCATTGTTTTGTTCCGAGGGCATATAACTCTCTACTTTTCGTTCAGTGAAGTAATATATTCGTTATCTTTAGGTCACCTGTGCGCTAGATATCCTGAATATTTCACGTGTCGAGGTGTTAGAGATATGTACCATTTCCTGCTCAGTTCTGATGATCCGAGCTACATGGAGATGCGCCTACAGGCTTTGCAAAACTTGGAAGAGTTTTTGAAGTCGGAGGAACTTAAACTTATCAAAGGAGATCAAGACTGTAAGGATTAAGTTCTTCGCACTTCCTCATTCAACTTCCTACCATGCTTTTTTGTTTTTTTCAATTTCTACCACGAAACATTTTGTCGCCTTTTTTCCAAATGCTTTACATTTCAGTCGGGAAAACCAAAGAGCAAGAAAATATAAAGGAAATGGATCAAGCTGGGTCTGGTCTTGGTTCCACAATCATTCAAATATACTGGCAAGCTGTCTTGCAAGGGTACTTTTCTAGCAATAATGCAATCCGCTGCCATTCGGCCCAGGTACTTCTACTTCCTTTCCTTGTGACTTCCTCTTATCTATGTCAGCCTTCAAGTTGGTTATAAAACTTCGTCTGATGCTTATTATTTTTCGTAGTTTAACGAAATAAACTTTGATGAAATACTTGGTTGTCAGAACTTTCTTTGTTTCTTCCATGTTTTCCAATAATGTGTGGTTTGAAGTATCAAACTCGCTTTCTCTCGGAATTACTAGTTATATCTAGGTAGCGAGCCTTACATACACTCAAGGCTTGGTAACTCCGGGCACATCCATAGCAACACTCATTGCAATGACAACTGATCCACTGCCGATTGTTCGGAATCGAGTGGAGGCTATGCTGAAAGATATTGATGCGAAATATTCAGGAATGATCCAGGTTAGCATAGATTGATGATGTAGTGTTTGCTACTTGCACTGAAGTAATCTTTTTATTTTAGAGTACTGCTGCTCAAGGGGTCCGTAAGGCGTATCAACTGCAGGAGCGAATACGTGGAGCTTGTGGTGATAGCGAACGGGTTATTCGTGGTATTCGTGCATTTGACTCCTCTACATATGCCACATCAAATGGTTAAACAATCCTCAAAATTTAATTGTGCAAGACGTTGTTATCCACCAGTATAATTTAGTTCGAATTGATCCGTCAACTGGTTTACCTCGACATTCCAATGATGGCCAAGCCGTACTTAGTGGATTGTACCAACGTCTGCGTGGGAATCGACAACAACGAAGGTCTTTTCTCACGAGTGTTTTGAGGTCTGTTTTCCTGGTAGTGGTGAAGTATAGATTAAGTTAGCTGTATATTATGGAACATTTTCGTCTGTTTCGGAGGCGACAATTTTGTGGAGAAAGATGGATGTGTGATAAAAATTTTTAGACATTTAGTTTTATCTGGATTAAAAAATGTACTTTCACTTCCTATAAAACTGTTATGCTTTTATCATATTTTATGTGGGCAGGGAGATAGCGCAGTGGTCAGTGGTGTAATTCATTAGGAAGCGAGGCGCTGATTTGGTCGCTTCCCCAGTCCTCTTGAGGACACAAGGAGAATCGACTTGAGTGACATTCTACAACATTCATAAGGAAGACGAAAGAGCATAGCAGCAGCAGGGATAACACGTGAAATACCCAAAAACTCTTGTAGACGGTCAATACGAGGAACATGACTTGATTGCAGGATGTGCTGGGAGTAACAGATGCGTTAGCAGCTTATGTAAAGTGCAAAAAGTTCGACGTTTTTCCTCAATAAGCAGGCACGAGGTTGTTATTATAGAATTTATTAGGATACAATAGCTGACGTTTCGGCGGTTTCGCCTTCAGAGCTTGGAAAGGTCAAATTGAGATGTGATCTACTCAGTCAAACACTTTCATAACCCTAGCAGATAAAACTTAACAAATGAGTTTGCATTCGCATAAGAAACAGCTTCATTTAAACACCTACCGTTTATTTGTTGTAAGTATTTAAGTTAGTTGATGGATAGCCGCCGCACAGAGTAATACATGGATGAAGAATGTGTCTAAGTCAGGTCACTGGATTAGTCTGAGGTATGGCGCTAGGTCACGCGTGATGACAAGACACTCCTCCTTGCGGTTCATTTTTGAATTTTTGGAATTGATTCAAAACGCTTCAAGAGTTTTACCCGCTGATGTTTGCGATTCCTGCGTGAGGATAGTGACCCCTACTTCAAAATCTTCTCCGTTGTGTTCCTGCATCCTGTGTGCGTTTGGCTCTTCCAGGTTCTGAAGAAGGCGAAACCACCGAAACATCAGCTATTGTGTCGTAATAAATTCTATAATAACAACCTCGTGTCTGCTTATTGAAGAAAACATCGAATTATCAATCAATGCGAGGTTAAAAGAAAGTCGGTCGTGGGAATTGCAAAAAAATTGTTTTGTTTTATTGAGGCTTGTACTATGTTCCTTATGAAAAAAGAAAATATGAAAATTAAACGGAAATCACTGCATTATTACTTCAAGGCAGACGAGAAGACTAGCAGATCGCCTTCCTTTCATATTCGCTTTAGCATTATGTGGTCCAGCTAATCGCTGAGTAATGCAGCAATAAATCTCCAATAACCTCGTCCCCGTTGCGTGCCCCGCTGTTCACTGGGTTGTGTTCCCTTGAGAAGCGCAATAAGCTTCTCACTGTTAGGTTTTCATAGTGTTCTTGCAGGTACGATATCTGCAGCTGCTTAACCGCGCTCTCCACTTTAATATTTCTTCGCATAGCTTAGATTCCAGATGGAGGAGCTTAATTTCTCACTTTTGCAACTCTTCTAAGTGACATAATTCCTGCTATACATCACAGTTGAACACCGACGGTCACTTTGCGTCCACTGTAAGGCAGCAAACTATTTAGGAGGTAGAAGGTCAATCCATAGTTGGAAATTCAATGCATTTTTCCAGAAGTGGGATTCCTTTAGTGTTTTTGGCGATCCTACTATTGAAGATAGGTTTGGTATGGGCTAAGGAATTCGTGTTTATACAAGCATGTTTTTGTTTAGGTTGTTCAGTGAGGATTCACGAGAGAAACTGAGGCTGAACGAGTGGATTTTTGTAGCTGACAACATCGCCATGTTCCCTTATCAGGTTATTTTATCCGCAGTACATTACTGTGAATTTGTAAACATATAGGAACTATGTTTTAACCTTTATTTTCTGCCTACAGTTTTCACGGCAGAGTACTAAGCGAAATACAACAACAACGTTGCTGAGACATTTGCAAAACTCTGGACCGCAGGTTTCTATGATGGGGAACAAACGCACTATTGTCCTTTCCGGGGAGTAACGCGTTCACCACCACACCATGCCGGTCCTTGGTTTCGCCTGTCTCTCAGCTAGTTTATCGATCAGCGTCATCAGCAATCACCCGTCAACGGGATTGATCTGGGGAGCCCACGTCAGCATCGAACCCAGTTAAGCTGAGGTTGTAGTTGAAATCACAATGTTTTCTCTTTTATTTTCTGCCTACTACAATTTTCATGGCAGGGTACTAAGCGAAATACAACCGCAACGTTGCCGAGATATATCATAGAATGGTATATCTCTAGAATACCATAGACACCTGCGGTCCAGAGTTTTGCAAATCTCTCAGCAGCGTTGTGGTTTTATAGGAATTATGTTTGTCTTGTTCGTATGATAACACATTCGCGATGACTGGATCTCTACGAATTGTATGATGCGAAAATAATGACTGCTTCCAACTTTAAAATCGTATTATCCAAGCTCATCGTGAATTTTATTAATTGTGACGAAGCTATTATAATCGATTAATTCCTACCTACAAAATAATTCTCCTATTTTGTACTAATGAAGTTGTGGTTTTCTGAAGTCCAGGGCATTAGTATACTTAATTGTTTCAAAGCTGACGTTTCGAAAGCGAATGTAAATGATCAAACGGGATTTCAATATGATGGTCTTCACTCATGTATCGTTTACGTGTGCAACTCCCGGTCTTCCATTGTAGAACTGCAGGAAGCAAGGCTCCGATTCCCATCTCCGCAACGCTCTTCTCCAATGGACATGAGAACGTCTTATCTTCATTTCCAAGATTGTAATGAGAATCGACTCGACCAGGAATTTACGACATTTAAAAAGAAGACGAAACACTCAAACATCAACTGAAAGAATGCATAATATGTTCGGAGACCTCTATGAACGATGAATTCAAGGAAAACGAAACGAATGCAAGAACTATTGGGATCCTCACAGTATACGTGATGACAGGTCATGTAAATAATACAGATAAAAGTTGTGCAGGCTCCAGCACAATCTCCACTTTTCGAAGTTTTGCTGGTTTAGCTATCGCTTCCTTGAAGGCCCGAGCTCATCCTAACCAAAGTCTGCCCTGGGTCGTCACCACCGCAAGCAGTCGCAGCCCTTATGGATCAAAGGGAGATTTGCCACCATGCGAATAGTTTGATACCGGTACGGTGGTCGACCCTAGTATTGGCATTGGCTTACTCTTAACTAGGTTTCCTGATGGAAAAACCAGACTCCTGAGCATGGGAGACCCTGCCGAGGGTACGAGTCCCCCACAGTACATCGCAGTCCGACACCCAGGAACACCTCCCAGCCACAATGAGTCATTAAACCGTTAGGAGGATATAAATACATATACATATATATATATATATATATATATATATATATACATAATTAGTGCGTCTCGCAACGGTTTACCGCCTATCGTGGCTGGGAGGGGTTCCTGGCTGTCGGACTGCAATGTACAACCTGGGTATTCGTCTACCCGGCAGAGTCTCCCAAGNCCTCCCAGCCACGATAGGCGGTAAACCGTTGCGAGACGCACTAATTATGTATATATATATATATATATATATATATATATACATAATTAGTGCGTCTCGCAACGGTTTACCGCCTATCGTGGCTGGGAGGTGTTCCTGGCTGTCGGACTGCAATGTACAACCTGGGTATTCGTCTACCCGGCAGAGTCTCCCAAGCTGAGAAGGAGTCCGGCGTTTCCATCAGGAAGCCTAGCTAAGAGTAAAGCAATGCCAGGACCCACCACCGTCCTGATATCAAAGTCTCATGGTGGCAAATCCGCCTCTGATCTACAAGGGCTGCGACTTCCTTTCGTAGTGACGACCTGGGGCAGACTTTGGTCGGGTTGACCTCAGGATTCCAGGGAACCCCAATGGCTTAACCAGGAAACCTCCGAAAAATTGTGATTATGTTGGGGCCCGCACAACTAGTGAGGACGGGCCGTTCAAGTATCGAGTAAGTAATTAGTGCAACAGAGCAAAACGTCTATGAATCTATGTAGTTCTGAGCTTCTGAAGTACTCTGATTGCTGAAAAATTATGGGTAGTTATTGAAAAACAGGCATTGTCGTGAATATATTAACAGTGTTTAGTCTCTGTTTGTGGTATTGTCCCTTTAAATTAACGGTCTTCGTTATTTGTAATTTTTCTCCATTTTAGTAATAGTTTGCTATGTAGGTGATGGACGAGCCGTTATATGTGATCCATACTATTGACTCTATCGTTTCACTATCGGGACAGTCGTTGTTGGTGCAGTGCAAGGCCCATTTGCGTACTCGTCAGCCGTATTACACATCACAACAGCAGCCGCAGCAAGAAAGAAATCAACTGCCTGAAGATGACGATCTTCTTTTTGAGCCTGAGCCTTTATACAGTAATTTTCCTCTATCCTCTGCAATTATGCATTGCCATTTTTTGTCCTTGATGAAATGGTTTTATTCTAGATCGATTTCCTGAAGAGAAAGGTCCGCTGTACGATCTCATGGATAATAGTCAGGCGTGCTTTTTATTGCTCTACCTCAAAAATTTTTTAATGAAACTCTACGGATTCACCGAAGCGTGGGTGCAGCTCTATCATCTTGTATCCTTGTAATTGTATACATTTATTACCTTTCAGGAAAGTGCAGGAATACTCCCCATCAGAGGCGGCTAAAATTTACGAAAAGGCGTTGTCATCACGGAAGAACGTCCAAATGTTTAACCCTCTCGCTGCGTTGGATGGAGGCCGTCGACGTGACGGGCAGGGAGGTCTGGAGCACTTGGCAAATGACCGCCAAAGTATTCAGAGCCACTTCAACCTAGCGACAAAGATTTGCAATGTAAGGGTTCAGCTGTGTTGAAAATCATTCATAGTGATGCAATCATATCACTTGCACACATTCAAGATGTTTTAACCTTGGTTTTAGCATTAAAACCAAAGTTTTTCGTGAGATTTCAGTAAAGAAAGATTTTTTGGAATTATTTGTTGTGGATATTGTTGATTTTAGTTCCGTAAGATGTTGCTTTCTCTCGATCGCTTGGATAATGACGATGACAGTGAGTATGAAAGTGAATTTGGTGCTGGTGCTATCACAAAGGATCAGCAAGATGAAAACGAAGTTGAGTGCACCGTAACTAGCAATGTAGCTGATGTCGACTCGTAACTTGTAAATTTTCTAGCATCTACTTAGGTTTCAAAGGTTTTTAGCCACCAAGGCATTTCCTGGCTAATCTCATGTGATGTGATCCGCTATTTTCGTTCAGGGTCTGTTTTTTTTTTTGTTGTACAATGAGTCTTGTTCGTTTACAAAATGCTTCATCTTTTTCTTAACCTCTATATTTCCATAATAGCTATGATAATATTTCTGCAACACGGGACTTTTCTAAAGAATACCTTCTTCATACCTCGTGTTTTTGTTTTCTTCGTGATGGTTTTCTACGTGGTTTCTATATTATTATTCGTAATTGGTGATTTATCTAGGCACAGATCCCTGTATTTACAAATATCCGTACATTGTGGGGTTCAGCTATGAAGTGTGCTGAACATACTTCTCGTAGCACCAAGTGTTTCTATGATTCTGTAAATATGTTCTGTACGATTCTACTGTGAACTCTCTGTGTTTCCTTTCAAAGGGCTGCTTCGGTTCGATGATCTCGTTGTGTGGCGTTGTTTTTCTTCGTATCTCCCCGCGGCTACCGTACTTCTACGTGGCCATTGTGCTAGCCCAGATTGAACTGTAATGATAAATATCGTTAATATAGTAATAAATACGTATGTCTTGTCGAGATTGCCTATTCGTGTAGCTGGAAAACTGCAGGAAAAATTGTTGCAGAGCTACACGTATATCACTAGAGTTGAATGGAAGAGGGGAGTGGGACGACGCATTTATTCCTCTTTCTTTTTCTTTTTTCTTTCAGGTGAAATCTGTGTAATATAAATTAGATTTGAATGTAACGTTATGTAAAGGTGAGTCCCATTCAATGGGGTCTTTAACCTATTCCACTCCTCATGGACACCATAGTGTTCATGCCAACATACATCAAATGACCGCGTGTTCACTATAATGTCCATACTGAGTTCAGTGGCTTCTGGAGTTCTTTTTTTCTAGGCAGACTAAGTTATTTATTCGATAGCTAATCGGAAGCAGATCAAAATAGTAGGCGTGAGACCAGAAAAGCCGTTACCTACACTTGATGATTTGCAAAAAACCCTTCGTAGAAGTTCGTTGACCAGTAATTTGTCTAAGGAATAACCGTCATATCTACATATGTGTTCTTACGAACTGCCCTTGTTTAGCTAGTAGTGTAGATCTTCTTATTGTTGTTGTTGTTGTTGTCGTCGTTCAATGGCTAACGTTTTGGCAACTTCGAATTCCTCAGGGCCTGGAGGTGCCATATGTAACAATAGCCCTGTAATTCTATAAAATCTGCACGATTAGTGAAGATCCAGCATACAAACAAACGTTAATTTTCCAAAAAATACTCACCGTACTGCTAGCCCACCCATGTGCTGTGTACGGAATGAAGAATGAGACCCACCCATGGGATGTGCATCAAAAAATCATCCCGAGATAAGATGCCATATCACATGTGATAGTGAGGTGTCCGTCTTTCCCGTTCAGTTATCCGTTATTTCATTTTAATCCTATGATGATTCACAGTTATTCTATGGAATCCGTGGGTTTAAAAAAATTCCGAAATATACTGGACATAAGCTGGAAAATGCTTTAAAGTGCAAACAGCAATGTATTCGCATAATGGACCATAGTAACGCACAGTCAATATTGCTTGCTTGAATACTTGGATGGCCCGTCTTCAGTGGTTATGGAGCCCCAGTATAATTTCCACTTTTTTGGAGTTTTGCTTGTTTAGCCATTATGGTTACCTGTAGTCCCGAGATCAACCAGGCCAAAGCCTGCCCCAGGTCGTCACGACCACAGGCAGTTGCAGCCCTTGTGGATCAGAGGGATATTTGCCACCATGCGACTTTGATACCAGGACGGTGGTGGATCCTGGTATTGGTTTACTTTTAGCTGGGCTTCCTGATGGAAACGCCGGACTCGTTCTCAACTTGGAAGACGTTACTGTGGAGATGAATCTCCTCGCCGTACATCGCAGCCCGACACCAAGGAACACCTCTCAGGTACTATGAGACGGTAAGCCGTTAGGAGGTCTATCGACCTAGCGATGCAAAATTTTTACTTTTTCCTTTATTTTACATGACCCGTCTTCCAGACCTACTATGAGGATCCCAGCATTTTTTGCATTCGATTCGTTTTCTTCGCATCCATCACCCACGGGGTTCTTCCAATTTTTGTGTGTGGGTTGGGCTGCTGCTTGAATATTTGCTTGTCGAGCGAGTTTCCGCTGGAGTTATGGGATAGCCAAGCAAAAGCGTTCCTGCATGGATTACCGAGAGCAGACTTGTCCCAGACGAGTTTGGTACGAATTTAGCGACAGCGGACGGATGAGAGCTTTGGTCAGCTCAGGGCTGGTTGAAACCAGCACTATGCTCATGATGATCGGGACCACTTGCACTGCGGTACTTTCTTCTCTAAACGATGCAAAAAATTTAAAATCTTGTAACGGAATCCACTTTTTTACAATTTTCTGTACTTCGCTTCTCGGCATATGAACTTTCACTATGTATAAGAACTCTGAACTATATCGCGGTGGAGCAGGAAGAGTTTTACCTCATCAGATGTATATATATTTGATTAATTTGTATTCAAATCAAAAAGTCCACCATCATATGAGATACCCTAGCCTCAAGCAGAAAGGCGGAATTAATCCTAGCAGTCATGAGTGGTATATGACTCATTTCGTCATGAGGACTGAATTATCATCTTATACGATATTAAACCTAAAGTTTTGGAAAATTTCCAGAACACATTCATTTTAACATCGACTTCTTAATGCCCCACTTACTGACGTGCTTACATGTGGTTGTCAACTTAAGATTTATAAACTGATATCAAACGAGATACTCTTAGTTGTACATCCTACTTCAAGCACTTTACACAGCAAAAAATTCATTGTTTATTATCATTTTTTTAAATACAGCATTAAAAATGGTGCGTTTGCCGCAATGAGACGAATTAATAATGTTCACTGTGGTTTGGATGACATATCCTTCGCGCCTTGATCTCGTAGAATACGTCGAATGATTTTTCCAGACGGTGACTTTGGAATTTCCGAAATGAAAACCACACCGCCGGTGAGAAACTTATGAGGTGAGACCTTTCCTAAAACACAGTGCCGTATTTTAAATAATACGACGGATTCGTATTTATCCTTTGCTGATAAATGATGAGTGATGAAGATGAATGAATAGTGAGAAACAAAGAAAGAAGTAAGTAATGAGTAAATAATAGGAAATAAAAATTGAACGTGACATGGCGGAGTCCAACGATCCATTCTCAAGATGTTAAAATCCAGCTTGAATAAGGTTTCTAAAACATACTTTTGCTAAGAGTCGAACTGAACACTCAAATAAACACTAGTTTTTTTAAACATGTTTGTGTTAAACTCAGTGTCTAGGTACAGTATAATCCTCTTTGACTTCACGTAGAAACAAAGAATAAGGATGGCTTCTTTTTTGCTACTTGTTTACATGTAGACAATAAAGCCTAAGACTGTTAAGAAAGGCGTCATTGAAGCGATGTTTATATATATTTATTCATGTGATCTTATAAACTGATCTTCTTAAGCTGACGCGAGGTTGGTACAGGTCTTCGTTGTCGTCGTTTCTTATGTTATGTTTATATAATTTTTCGGAGAGTGACTGATTCGGATGATCCCACCTTCAATAAAGCGTTGTACGTCGGCCTCGCTTAGCTTTTCATTGCTTTTCACAACGTACGCTCTCGGTTTTTCTCCATGCTTATCATCCGGCACGCCGACCACGGCAGCATCGCGGATATCCTCATGAGAGAGCAGAATATCTTCGAGCTCGGATGGTGCCACCTACAACAATTTGTAAATGGTAGAAAAGGAAAAGGATAAAAAGTTCGGCACTGGTCTATTATTGATCGATTTGTCATGTACTGAGTTTTCATAGGGCATCGTAGAGTTGATCTAGTGATTACCTCGCCTTACGGTGGCATGCCTATGTGTCGAGTAAGTACTTTTAACTTCACAGACAAGTCTGGTACTATGTGCTGTCTTCAGAGTGATGGATGGCCTGATAAACCTAGCGCGACGATCGAACTAGTGGTAGATCCGGTGTGTATTACAAGGAATCTCTACCCACTGTGCTATATGCACTTTCTCTTGTTTGGAGTGTCCCAGTTGCATTAGTTCAGAGCAACGCTTCTCATTATATAAATGCATATGTTGTGGTCACGTCAAGTATAATTCATAGAACAGGCATTCTACGCGTGGAACGACTTCGAAATATTCACCCGTCTTTGGTGGCTCTAACACACTCCTAGCAGAGGTAGAGCTTTCAAACATGATTTTGGAAAATGCAGAATTCAACATTGTAGAGAGTACACTAATAAACACCAACTCATCTTCTATCAAAACTGTAGTAACAGCAGCTCAGAATTGGACTTGCAAGTGATGTGTTGACTAAATTCGCCGGAAGCTACTATCAGCAATCACCTAGTGAAATGGGCAATACTCCTCTCTTACGGCAATGACGTGTAGGACACACAAATAACGTTGACGCCTGTATCACCATCGATCATCATCATCTTACAAGTAATTTCTGTGTTGAAAACTTCTAAACCGAGTCACCTGTAGTCCTTTCACTTTGATTAGTTCTTTTACTCGATCAAGTATGTGCATTTGACCTTTGTCGTCCATGAAACCAAAATCACCTTAAGAAATCACAGAATTCTTTCAAAGAGTAAGCACGTAATTTTATTATTTTTAGCTGGTATTTTAGCTTTTTAATAAGAATACCTTTAGATGAAATATTGTGGAGCAAATCGACGAAATGGTAGGTCCGAACGTATTGAATTAACAGTTCGTGTAACTATATTCAAAAGTTCCTTGTTTAATAGAATGTATAGCGAAGATAATTCACCTGTATGAAGCCATCCTTCATTATCAACTGCTTGAGCTGTTTCTTCTGGGCTACCCAGATAACCCTTCATGATTGTCGGGCCTCTGATGCAGAGCTCTCCTGGTTCACCAATTGGAAGCGCCTCTCCAGTTTTCGAGACTATCTAAATAAACACTTTAGCAATTTTTTCCCCGTATATTTTGTCTTGGAATTCAGATTGTTGAACATCGTCCTTGAACACCCGGTTGATTAATCGCAAATTTCACCACCGTCACAAGATGTTGTCCAAAACGAATCCGACTGGCAATGCGAAACAACTTTCTCCGATTCTTTAGTGTCGGCTGCCGCCTACGGTGAAGGTCTGGGAACGATCTAGTACGAAAATATCAAAGCGAAACGAATGACCCGCTTGTGGTGGTGAACGCGTCAGCCCCCGGAAAGCGTAACAGCGTCTTCGATCCCCACCGAAGACACCTTTGGTCGGAGCTTTGGAAATATCTCAGTGTCTTGTAGTGATTCCCACGACCGACTTTCTACTAACCTCGTCCCAATCAAATAGTTCTCGATATTCTTGTTGACCAAATTTCAGCGGATTTCACCTTCTTCAGAGCCTGGAGAGGTATATTGAAAGGCAATTTACAAAGTCAAACGCTCCGATAAAACTTACAGAAAGAAGAAGATCTAAATCGCAATCACACGATCAACAGCTTCTCGAAAAAACCCACCGTTTATTGCCTGCCTTCCACTGAGGAGGCACAGCTGATCAGAGTCGCATATGGTCGATAAATGTCCACCCACATCAAAAGTCGATGCGAAGGTACGGGGCCGGATCACGTGTGATCTCCGGGCATTCCTCCCTGCTGCTCATTCTAAGGTTCCTGTTATTTATCCAAAAAGCCTCAAGAAGCTTGCGCGTTGGTGTCTTGGCATCCTTTGCGAGAACAGTGACTTTAATATAAACATCGTTTCCGCTATGTTTTTGTATCCTATGCGTCCCCAGTGGGGTACTTAATCTTGCTTTCATTTGCCATCTAGGTGTTTTTTTAAGCGGATATATAAAGGTCTGCCCATTTCGACAATATGTTCATCTCCGCAAATACTAGAGGAGATCAAGTATATTGTACTCATACAGTCACCGTCTCTGCCGTAAGGGCAAATTGTAAATTTATATAATTGCCGGTAATTAGACCTTTATGTATCCGCGTAAAGAAAACACCTAGATGGCAAACGAAAGCAAGACCAAATACCCCACTAGGGACGCATAGGATATAAAAACATAGCGCAAACGATTTTGATATTAAAGTCACTGCCCTCGCAAAGGATGCCAAGAAACCAGCGCGCAAGCTTCTTGAGGCTTTTTGAATACCAGGAACCTTAGAATGAACAGCAGGGAGGAATACCCGGAGATCACACGTGATCCGGCCCCGTACTTTCGCATCGACTTTTGATGTGGGGTGGTGCATTTATCGACCATATGCGACTCTGATCAGCTGTGCTTCCTCAGTGGAAGGCAGGCAATAAACGGTGGGTTTTTTCGAGATGCTGTTGATCGTGTGATTGCGATTTAGATCTTCTTCTTTCTGTAAGTTTTATCGGAGCGTTTGACTTTGTAAATTGCCTATCAATATACCCTTCCAGGCTCTGAAGAAGGCGAAATCTGCCGAAACGTCAGATTTAACGGAATAAAGAAGAAGACATGACCTCGTCTTTGCTCAGCAAGAATATCGAGATACTATTTACACTTGTCATTATCACCAGCTCGCTTTGATCGCATTAAGAGATTGGGCTGAAATTGAATGAGACAGCAAAGGTGATTTTGTTCATTATAAACGCCGGGATTATTGAGAAAAGAAATTATTTCGGAGTGGTACCAATGCTTACGCTAGTCTGAAATCGTCGTAATTGGTGAATAAGAAACTTAGTGAGGCATAGCCAAGAACATTCACAAGGGTGTTCGTGTTCGGATGCAGTCGATCTAATGCACATTTGGTAATAGCCACTGCTGGAATTTTTTACGAAAAATCTGACACGATTTACACCTTTGGTGCTACTCTAGAGTGTCCTTCCTATGATTCTGGAAAAGGTGACGAACACGGCGGAAGTGGAATGCTCATAACCATTTCACTCCATGGCCCCTGTGTAAATGTGTAAAATAGCTCTACGCGTTAATCGTAGTGATTGAAAACAAGAAAAAATAAAATAAGTCGAAACTGGATAAAACGTGGTTATTTCTTATACCTTCTGCTCATAAGTTGAGGCTAGCATTCCAATATTGTTGAAGTTCATTCTTGAGTCGAGCGGTGGTAGATGCGATGCCATACTGCATTCGGTCATTCCGTAGCCTAATTAAGTGGCTGTAGCTTTTACGTTCATCATAGGTTGTCGTTGTGACTAGAAAAAAAGTGAACCACAATGTAGTGGTGTAGTTACAAATGCTTCTTTTGCTCCTTCACAGGAGTAATTCAATAGAACCAAGTTTTGTGAAGCATGTTCTAGTGTGATAAAGTGATAAAAAAATAAGCCCTCGGCGTTGATCAATTCCTGAGTGATGCGCCATGCATTCGACCTCATTAAGCATCGTTGGAGGTGACTAAATACATACATGGCTTTTACAATGACTTGCGGTGGTGTAGAGCCATAGGCGAGGGGATCAATCTTGTGTGTATTTCAGGGAGCTCCCGACTATTGCGCCACACCCACCCTTTCCACTATAATAGAGCATGAAAACTTTTTGCCCTTTAAGAACGAGTAGTGACGGTTCGACAATGAGGATGTGTGAAAAATAAGACAAGCAACATGTCAGAGAGATCAATACGTCTTATTTCCGTCCCCTCCCAAAAGAAAATAAACTACTTCTCGTTTTCAAAACGTGTTTTATTCCAGTAAATGATTCTTAGAATATATCAGCATAAATAAATGGTACATTAAAAGAATCAGCTGACATTGGTGACATTTACTCACACCTCCACGGATTATTCTAAACTCATTAGGTAGTTTATTCCAGGACGACATACCTTGAGCCAGATATCGTACATGCTTGTATTTTCTGAGGAATTCATCGCAAAGATCTTTTCCCAGTGGAGCAGCTCCACTGAAAACGAAATGAACTGACGAGAGATCGTACTTGGCAGTCATCGGGTGTTTGGTGAGAAACAGCAGAATGGGCGGCACCACCATTATCATTTTCGGCTGAATCGGAATTATCAAGGAATAACGCTACGATATAGTTCTCTGTTAGCAAAAAGTGTGGTTGTGAAGCGCAAGTATATTCAGAAAAGTTCCCACGTCTCTAACAAATAGGCTTTTCCTCTCTGCATTCTTACTTTAATTCTCATGAGAACTCATGCCATGCAAGCCTAACTTAATGAATTACGCAGTATCTTACTATATTAAACTATGCCGTGTTTTGAAAGGCTAACAGACGTGGCCGTCCTACATTTCTGAGAACGCAAATAGCTTGTGCTGGCATTCTCTATCCTTCGGCTAGTTAAAACGGCTTCATACTGATTCGAATTTTGAAGGACGGATCATGCAAGCAACGTTTAACGTACAAGAGTTGAGGAGTACCTTATACGTTTGGATGGCTTCCAAAAATACGACCGGATCGAATTTGCTCAAGACAATGCCTGTGGATCCATTGCATAAAACGTGGTTCATCATTCCAAAACCGTATATGTGGTAGAAAGGAAGCATGAGCAACAAATTTTCCTTGTGGTAATCCCAGCCCGACTCTCCTAGCTTCCAGAGAACATGGTCCTCACAGTGCCTGAAACGTGAAGCTAATCTTTGCTTTCTGGATATTATTTGAAATCTGTGATCACATAATATTGAAACGACCGTCAAAAACAAACTTGTTGAAAATATCCAGCATAGTAGAGAAATTCTTGTGACTGAGCATCACACCTTTCTGCATACCCGTGGTTCCACTTGAGTACGGTAGAAGAGCAGTATCATCAGGACTAAAGAAAATGACGATCTTGTTCCAGTAAAAGAAATATTTCGAAATAAGTAGACCCTAACTTTAAGGTGACACTTTGATGAAAAAACATAACCAGGTCGCCATATGCACTGAGGGGTCGTGATATTTTTGCACCAGCTTCCTGTGATTATTTCAAGAATGTCAGGCTTGGCGAAAATTAAAAGAGGTCCACAAACCATGAACGATATAAATACACAGTGGTATTACCGATAAGCAGATATTCTTACACAGTGGTTTCAGTGATACGCAGTATAATCCAATAGTCCCGGAATAATCCAGCTCAGTTTGTCCCAGCGACTAGAGAAAAACAACTGTTGCTAGCTATTAATGTGGAATTTGTTAAAAACTGCAAATCTCTCACAGACATCCACATGCTTGCAGGAACACTATGTGCGATGCTTCCAGCTATAGGATAGTGAAGAGTGGATGGATATCAGGAAGCCCCTGCTGAGCTGAATTGAGCAATACCTAGCATTATTCACCAGTACATTCATCCGCATTATCGTTGTTGTGTTGGAATGTGCGTGATTGTATCATGACCATGGATTTGAGCAAACATTTCTAATCAAATGACTCGTAAATGCTTGGGACTACCAACAAGCCTGGAACTCTGCTTTGGAAAAGTGTATCAGTTTACAAGTAGGAACCCTTCGAGAAGCGGGAGAGTGATATTCTATGGAAAAAGAGGAAATTTTGCACGAAACATTCATCTAGGATCATTTTTTTGTAAATGGACCCTTCATAGCTGCGTACAGTGTTGAGATTACTCTGGCAAAAGAAATCTGTCTCTAAAACAAGACGCATTTCATTTCATAAACTAAAACTCAAAAGCCTTACGACGATTCGTGCAAAGTAGCCTGGGTGTGGATAAAGATCAAAGGATAAGGAATCCGACTTTCATCAGTATCTGATGAATGAGCCATGCATCGTCAAAGTCATTAAGCAGATACGGCCTACATGCTAACTTGCGGTGGCCTACCAATGTATCAGCTCAGTTCGTTTATCCTTTCAGACGAGTCTGGGAGTAAATTTTAGCGACCCCCCAAAGATAGGAGAGTTGGTCAGCCTGGGACGTAAGATCGAATCAACATGTGTATTTCAGTGCACTTCTAACCACTGCCCTAAGACAATGAACGGTCAAGCGATACCCTAGTAATCACCTGAACGCATATTTTGGAAGAGGGGCGATGGGCGTGCTGACAACGTCTTCCCAAGTTATCACTCCTGACGGGAGAGAATCCTGCGAGCCCGATGGTCGAACACAGATAACGTACTAGAAAATAACATTCTTCTTTCTCTATAGCAAACAAAATAAAGGATACACCTCTCAAATATCCCTTATGAAGCTCACCTACCTCTACCTTAGGGCATTCCTTAACTGCAAGAAGCACTTTGTTCACGTTTGCGTAGTTCGTGATGACAACTTTACAACACGAATCGAGAAACTGGCGCTTCAGTTCATCTGAAATTCATTGACTAATACGCAGTCTACGTTGAAAGTTTTCTCATCAGTGGACTCTATGCCAGGTACTCGTCTCTCATGAAATTAACACTATTCATACTTATTTGGATACTTGGATGATCCGTCATCACTGGTTGTGTAGCCCCAGCATAATTTCCACTCTCCGAAGATTTGCTAGTTTAGCCATTGTGGTTCCCTAGAATCCCGAGGACAGCCTGCCCAAAGTCTGCTCCAGGTTGTCACCAGAAGCAGTCGAAGTCATTGAGGATCAGAGGGAGATTTGCCACCACGTGATTTTGATACCAGGACGGTGGTGGATCCTGGTATTGTTTTGCTCTTAGTTGGGCTTCCTGATGGAAAAGTCGGACTCCTTCTCAACGTGGGAGAACCTGCTGGAGGTATAAATCTCTCCGCTGTACATCGCAGCCCGAAACCTAGAAACACCTCCCAGCCACGACGAGGCAGTAAGTGTGAGAAATCATAGCAGAATGAAAGATAAACGTCGTAGAAGAAGTGAGATAATGATGACAGTGTTCTTCTAAGCACCTCTAAAAACTCACTGCAAAGTTGTTAGGTAGCAATTTTCATAAATTCTAGAATACGCTCAGAATAGCGTCAATAATGAAACACTAGGTTAACTTCATGATTGTTGGTGTAATGTATTACAAATAAAGCTAAGTCAAAGCCAGAAAAAAGCTCCAGGAAGGGGTGAAAATCGACAATTCATTTTCTCGAGGGCTGGTCGCTGATAGGTCCCTACACAACCTGCCGCTCTGTCTACTCATGAAGCACTGAACATGGAGGATTATGTCAAGACTTATTGACTTTTTACACTAGTACACTTTTATGTCACGATAAACCAATTATCGTATTGTGCAAAAGCACTCACATTCGGTGCTCAGTGCACTCGCACCAGACATCACACCACCAGCCAGCAACGCTCCTAAGTAGAAAACCGCGTAGTGGAAGCAGTTCGGCAACACCTGACAGCACACATCTTCATGAGCGTACCCCCTGAAATTTAGAAGAGCTCACAAGACTACTACCATGTACAGACGATGTTTCGGCGAAACGTTAGGAAGCGAAAACCGAGGTGGGTTTGCATTGAATAATGGGTTGCTGAGGAAGACGTTATAAAGAAAAGGATAGCCACTAAAAGTGCTTTAGATTGTGAAGAAAAACGTTATGTTTTGGACCACAGAAACTAGACAGTGTCGAGCCATGTAATACGTAGATCTCGCATGCATATGAAATGAATATCCGTTGTTACTACTTTGTTGCCAGGCGTTACCAACCAGTACTTTACTACCTGAACTCCCTTATAATTCTGGCAGCTATAAAGTGGAAGACTGTCTTATAATATGTTCCCTAATATGCATCTATGAAGACTGTCACAATTGAAAGATCTCTTGGTGAGTTCTACCATAGAAATTGGTTTCTCGTGAATTCACCCACCTCTGAGAAAGAAAACTGGCTACCCGATGAGACTGGTCATAAACCTCCTTGAAACTGATTCGCACCAGTGGATCCTCAGCGCTTATCTGAAAGCATGGATATTAACGAATAACGTAGGTTACCGGAACTAGGTTGGGAAAAGAGAATGTTAATGGTGCAATGCCCTTCCATGAACCATTAATAAATACAGTTATAGCGTTTTCAGCAATATTTCATGAAATTATTCTCAAAGAGTTGCCTTGAGATCAATTCCTGCGCTAGCGGTCAAGAATACAAAAAACTACCCCTGTAAAGAAAAGAAAGCAGCAATATTACTCGAAACAACCTTCGTTACCAGTATTTCGTTATTTCCTAAGTCCTCAATCCTCTCACCAAATCTGTTCGCTCAAAATGTACTACTAGTGCTGTCACCTGAGTAGTCCACGTATGCCTAATTTCGAGTTGCCACTGTGTAAACACGGAAAAAATGAGCTTACAAATGCGGCCCGATCCGGAGTCTTGTCGATGGTCTGTTGTACAGCTGTCAGAAGCTTCTCGTGTATCGCAGTGGTACACACCGGAATTTTTGCGTATGGTGAAGCAAATATATTTTTCTTATCTAAAGTGGTATTTTTGCATATGAATTAGTGATGTTGGTGTCATAGAGCGCCGTTGTATGGAATTTGTTATGTAATGTTATACCATGGCGAATGTTCCACTGTGGCGCGTATGGCGCAGTGTTAAGAGGCGCTCTGCAACACACACGAATCGGTCCTCGCGCCCAAGGCCCACCAAGCCATCTATCTCCGCGAGATCGGCAAATTTGTACCAGACTTGTCTGGGAGGATAGCAGCACTGGCTCGATACATCGGTAGGCCACCGCGAGCCATTGTAAAGGCCAGATATGCGTTCAATCTCCTCCAACGATGCTTAATGAAGTCGAAAACATGGCGCGTATCCCCCAAAGATTGATCAACGCCGAGAGCTTTGTCCTTTATCCTTTATTTATCCTCTTATCTCCTACATTTCTCAGGAATAATCTTTATGTGAATGATGCCGCGCATCTAGAGCGCTCTCTATAACTTGTCAAATGGAAATTTTTCGCACAGAATTTGCCGGTTATTTAGCGATCAGTCTAGTGTTTCAAATCAAAATGCTTTGAATACGAACTATTGTGTGAGGCGGCTAAGCTGGACTACTGGCAAATCCACCATGTGTAGTTAAATATCAAAGGGTTCTCTGTCTCACAGAGATAGTTCGGAAAGCTCTTCGAAAAACGTTGATTTCTCACACAGTTATGCCATCATATTAAATCAGAACACAAACATCAATCCGACTGCTAAAAATTTATTCCCAAATCGAGTTCCAACATTCTTTTCACGTCGTTGGAGCTACTAGACAAAGTCGGTTGTGGTGAATCAATTTTAAAATTCTATATCTCACCCTGCTAACAGAGATTGAAGATCTAGGAAGAGATCTACCTCAGTCGAACTTCATGCTGACAGGAGACTACAGATAAGGGGGTGAACTGTTAAGTTCGTTTGGCATATAATTCTTGTTGTTAAATTAATAACTCATTCACTATTATATTCTTAAGGACTTTTATGCACAACATTTCAAAACAGGATTTCAGCAGTAAATATCTGTTGGCCGCCTATAGCCGTGCCCACTTAATTTTGTTAAGCGTCTTGGAATACAGAGGTTCATATGTGCTTTGTACTTTGTTCTGATCTGACCTGCCTGTGCGTAGACGTCCGTAAGCGTAGGTGTAGTCTTCGCACACTTATAAACAACCGTTTATGAGATTAACATGATTGACTCTCGTTCTTTATTCGCTTTAAGTGTCATCAGTAGACTCATGTTGCACATCGGATCTTTCACGGATGAGGGATTTCAGCAGGTCACACGGTAAGAAGTTGCTTGACGTAAATAAGAACAAAAGAAAAAAGGATAGAACTCTCGGGTTTGGTCAATGATGCGCCACTTCATTAAGCAACGTTTGGCGGTGATTGAATGCATATTTGGCCTTTACAATGACTCGCAGTGGCCTGCTGATGTATCCACCCAGAACTGTCCTCCCAGACATGTCTGGTACCAATTCGCGACCCCGGAGAGATGGAGGGCTTGGTGAACCTTTGATGTGCAATCGTGCTCATATGTATTGCAGGACACCTATAAACACAGCACTGCGCCGCACCTAAAGAAGGATAAGCATGACAAAAATCACTTTCTATTTGCTCTGGGACGCAAGTGAATGGCGTAAGTTGTTCGCATTGCGTCGGTCTGCTCTTATGCAAACAGATTGTATTTTGCGCACCAATATGAACAAGAATCCGTAGCAAAATAAATGCTAAATATACGGTAAGAGATCCAGGTTGTTTCCAACAAACATACCAAATAAGCAATAGCTGAAGTTCTCAGCTCCTGCATATCATCGCAAGTTTACCCATCTTTACTAAGAATCCTTTGACAAGGTCTGCACATCTTTTCAGAAAAAAACGGGTGTCGTCTAGTGAACGTTGGGAAGAGTGTTTCAAAGCTTTTGTTTTCATTGAACTTATTCCCACCGATGACCCCTCCATACTCATATTTTTATTCCATTTTAAGCAACCCGTCTTCACAACTACAGTGCGGATCTCAGCGCTTTTCACATTCGATTCGTTTCCTCACATCTACAATCCATTAAAGCCTTGCAAGTTTTACATGTGGCTTCGGCTGCTGCTTGAGGATTTTCATTTTATCTTGAATATCGTAGAATGCTGGTCGAATTTACTCTCGCTGGAGTCCTGAGATAGCCGGACTGGAGCGTTCTCAATTGAACTGGAGAGGTTTTGCTTTTTCCCAGACAAACCCGGCACCAATTTTGCGATCCCGGAGCAATGAGAGGGTTGGTGAGCCTGCCGCGGGATCGAATCAGCACCGTGCTCTTGGTGACCGGAATAACTAGCTTATCCGCCCCTCTCAATATCCAAAACGTGTCAAAACCCGAAACAGCTACGTTCGTGTTGCATGGTAGACGGCAAACAATCTTGTTTAACTTTTGAGTTACCTGAAAGTCAGTTTTGTTCTTGACTTTGATTTTGATGCGAGTGTTGTCGAGCAAAAGGAAGCCCTAACACGCACTGGATTCCGTGGAAGCCGCGAAACCACAGACTGCACGGAACTCTTCCATATAGCGATCGGTGATGAGCATCTAGTCTACGTACGGTGTCTTTAAGAAGAATGTGTTTTGACTCCAATCATAAAGGACGGAATCAGTTTGCGACCGTGCAGCACGAGCTTTGGCTTGATTTCTGGGGAATCCGTAACTGAGGAGCCGAAATGCATAACACATTTTGCTCTTGTAGCGTGTTCACCTGTCATCTCCTCTTTTGATTTGCCTCAAAAGTTCCATTTCATTCGGGAGACACAAGGAATGACATATGGTCATTCTCTTGACTACCTATGGTTACTAACAGTGTGAGCCACTAGTTCATGGAGAGCGTCGAACTAATTTCTTGGTTGAGCTAATATATTTGAAGGTAATTTCATTGAATACGTCGCACGTGTTCAAATCCAGGCGTATCTTGATCTCGCACATGGAGTGTTTTCGTGAAATAAGTCCAGCCAACCTGATAATAACCACAATGTCCTCCTACCAAAGGCGTGACCCAAATGCGCGAAGACCTCTCTGAGAGTCGTTGATGAGCCCAAGTCTTCGTATATGGTGAGTTCATTGATAGTCTTATCCGACATAAGGTTACTTTTTCCGCTGCACCCATGCTCTCACGAATCCTTACAAGTCCTTTCAGAACCACCCCAATAACCCACAAAGGCGTTTGAACGAAAAAAAACTGCAAAAATAGGCATGAAATTATGTTCCAACTAAACAGAACATATGTGTTCTTAAAAATTATTTGAGTTAAGACTGAACTTTGAAATATGTGAGGCTTGTAAACAAGTTAAAAGTGAAGTAAATCATTTTCGCGATATTTTGTTGTTCCGTTTGCGGAGTAATATTTAGATGAGTTCACTCGATAGAGAAGATTTGGCATCACCTTTAGTTGGTACATATTGATCACCACCTTGGGAAGAGAAGTTGCGCACACAAGAACGGAGGCGAAACGGAGCTTCAGGAAGTCCCTGAGACAAATAAGCGATAACATAAAGCTCACGAAATAGACGCCAAGGAATTTAATATTAGTTCATTTTGACTCATATGTGTTACTGCGACCAATGCCCTAATGTTGTGGAACATGGTAACTGTGCAATGGATGCCTATCGATTAGTGAGGTGTAGCTCGGATTATGTAAAATAGCCGAACGCAGTTCACATTGACGCGACGTTTAGAATTCATTGCAACTGTTGTATGGCAGTCGTTAAACAATACCCATCAATAAGTTCAACGGAGAAAAAGTGGAGATTTTGGCTGAATGAGAAGGATGTGGAACCAAGATATGAAATCTGCAGAATTCAGTTAAGGGTAAAAGCGATAAAGCTCTCGGCGTTGATCAATCCCTGAGGGATGCTCCATGCATCGTTTGGAGGTGATTGAATGCATATCTGGCCATTAAAATGACTCGCGATTGTCTATCGATGTATCGAAATAATGCTACTATCCTCCCAGACAAGTCTGGTACCAATTTGTCGACCTCGGAGGGATAGAAGGCTTGGTGAGTCTGGGCGCGGGGATCGATCCTATGTGTGTGTCGCAGGTCGCCTCCGACCACTGCGTCAAAATTGAAATGCGCCTTTTTTAGAGGGTTTACCTAGCGTTTAAAATTTAGAATCAACAATTGACAGATACTTTTTATATATATCATTTCAATTTTGGATATATTCAACTATAATGCTGCAGTATAGCATATACCTTAGCTGTAGCAATTCCTTGTTGCCGAATGACAGCTTTTAAATATTTTGCGTTAAATGTCGAGATGCTTGTTTTACTTCCGTTGAAAGTCTGAACAGAAAGCACAAAAATGGGAGAAACTAAGCAAAATCTCTCATTTACTTCGCATCGATTCTATATTAATAGCGGAACGAAGATGAAATGTGCTTACATCTGAAAAACGAAGGCTTGAAGCAAATAATGGTTTTCTTTTTAACTGTGTGAACGGCCGAACGGACATCCAGGACGACATCGCAATGTGCTAAAATGAAGACCACTCGGCATTTGATATAAACGCTATCTTTAATGATGCTGAGATATTTGCAAAACTACGGACCGCAGACACCTGAGACAAATATGTAGGCTAAATGCCTACCGAAAGAACCGGTATTTATTGGCCTTAAGAAGTCTTAAGAGTCTGTCAGAAGAGTCTTAAGCCTTAAGAAGTTCCCACAAATGTCATCTTGCTGTACTCTGCTTTGATCGTTTCATGTGTGAAATCTCGAGGAAGTTAGTCGTGAAGTTAGGGCACACACCGTCAGGTGACGATTAGTTTAAACACGGACCAAGGGCTATGTAAAATTACCTCGGCATAGGTCCGTTCAGGATATGCTCTTTATGTTTGCGGCGCCTGATTGGTCTATGGTGTTTTTAACTTGACTTGAATATAGCCCGTCTAACAAAGAAACTATGGGCTTTACAGCTCTTTCTGTTAATATGGGCAATTTAGCAAATTTTTTCTCTAGATTCCAACGAAACCTATAACAGCGCGCTCTCCGGTCGTCAGAACCAGAGGTCGCCGTCCTTAATGTATCGGGAACAGGCTGGCCATCGAGAGGCTTGTTTTCTGGCGAGAAGTTGGGAACTTCTATAGTTAATAAACAGATCATAGATGCCTCTCAGCATGGAAACTTTGAATATCTCAGCATGAGTCATTCCGCTGTGGTTATGAAACCTCTGGAACGTAATTATTCAGGAGTTTGACACTCGTAAGCCACAGTGAGATGGTAAGCCTTCGGAGGACTTCCCCCATTTGTATCGCAATATTAATGTATATTTGCTTGGGTAGATTTGTGTTTATTCGGATTGTATCGTGCATGTCGATCAGGCAAAGATTTCGTGTTCAAGAAACTGGAAGAAGTAGATAGAAGCGCCTGTACAGAACTGAGCAAGCTAAGCATTTATACAAAAATCTCATCTGTATGTTAAGTTGTCAAATTATGTATTGACTATGGGCACGAACTGTACCTCCAAAGAACACATACACACATCCAATCGAACGTGGTGATGTTAGCTAGGAACACGTTAGCGTATATTATATATATATCTTTACATATATACCAATATATATACCTTTATATACATACCTACATATATATATCTATATGTATATACATATATATCTACATATATACATATATATATGCATTGCTACCATTTTCTTAGTAAAAGAAATTTGTATTTATGTCTTTTATTTTAAAATAAGTAAAATACATAAAATAAAATATACACATATATTAAGTTGATCAGAAATAAATAAACGTTTTAAAACGCTCGTTGTTTTACTGTATTTTTTACCATTAAACTTTCCTTTGTACTTCGCAGTGTTACACACCATAGAAAGGCGATTTTATGGCTTTTCAACTTTGCTTTTATATTTTGCCAAAAGGTTAAAATTTTACCAATTTTGAGCTTTGCAATTTTAGATGTCAAAGAGGAAATTTCAAATTTTGTTTTATGAGCTCGAACTCGGTCGTAGTGCAGCAGCGACGGCTCGAAACAGTAACGAAGTTTGGGGTGAAGGTAGTGTTGGTGAGCCAACAATGCGAACATGGTTTCGGAAATTCCGATCTCGTGATTTTGACCTCACATATAAGGACGGCCGCGGACGTCCCAATGAACCTGACGACGACGAATTGAAGGCACTGGTGGAAGCAAACACGCGAACAAACAGTTCAAGAGTTTGCAGAACAGCTTGGCGTAAGCACAGGAACAATTTCCACTCATTTGAGTCGCATAGGAAAGAAAAAACTCAACAAGTGGGTAATTAAACGATAACCCAAAAAAAAATCGCCGTTTTGAAGTGTCGTCCGTTCTTATTCTGCGATCAAAACAAATTCTACCCGATCTTGAGCTCCCGATAATGCAATATTAGCAAAGACGTGTACGAATCAGCCTCTAAAATTAAACGATATTCTAAACTGCTCAAAAAGGAAAGCACTCTGATAATGACTTATTCTTCTAACTCACTCGCTCTAGCAACTAAACCCTCCATCGAGAATTTGATGACGCAAGCTTAGAATATTAAGCCCTATCAGACTGACTGAAACGATAAGAAGCCATCCGTTTAACGTTGTTTATGACTCTGGTTTAGACATGAATATCCATTCCATGTAGCAAATAATGACCCGGATTGGAAGTCTGTGGTTGAGAAAATGTTTACCAATTGCGACTTAAGCTGCAGCTGAACAATATTTCTAGGATTCACTTAGAGATGTCTGTCTTGAGAATCGAGATGATAATCCAACATTTAGTCAAAGGAGCTGCCAAAAATGCCCAACATGCCTTCAACCTCACAAAGCTCTTGCGCGAAACCATAAAAAATAACCTTACCGGCAGACCAACAGCTACTCCGAATTCTTCGAGAGCCACGTCCACTTGTCCACATATTCGGTCAAGGAAGATATGTTGTCCCAACAGTTCGGCCTTCCGAGGTTCAAAAAATAATAACTACAATAGAAAGTGCTTAGGAGACTTCCTCCTCCAAAGAATTAGTTACCCTGCCGTACTTTAAGCAAATGCGTTGCGTTTTCAATCTTCTTCGACACTATGGTTTTCATGATTGCGCTGCAGGCTAAACGTCCCTATCGATCACCTCCACTTTTCAACGTTCTTTATGAAGAAGTGTGAAAACATAATTTGGTTTAGTAATAAGCCTGATTGATGAGTTGCACTAGATTTGACTCGATGCTAAAACGAAGACCAATATCAGATGAAAGAACAACAGTAGGCATATAGATTGAATAAATATGTCAGCCCTCCCGCTTTCTGTCTGCTGTAGAACAACCACATGGAATTGGTGTGACTTGCGGTTTCAACAACAACGTGAAAATCAGCGTCGGAGGAGTGAATCCTGGTATTTTACATGCAGTGCAAGAAACAGTCTCCGTGACGTGTTCGATAGGCACAGGTTCAGTGATGTTGCCAAAGTCCGAGAATTAGTTGCCTCCCTCCCACAGGTCGTATCACCGCCTGACGTTGTTGACTCGAGCCAAAATGCTCTTTGTTTTATTTATTTTACACAACCTTACATGACGTCTACTGCGCGAATCCCAGCACTTCTCGCATTCCATTCATTTCCCTCAAATTCATGGTCTACAAAGGTCTTCGAACATTTCGGCTGTTGCTTCGGCTGCTGTTCGTCTTCTTTTTGAATGTCGTAGAATGCTGGTCGGCTCGATTCTCCTTGTAATCTTAGAGATAGTCGAGCAAAGATGTTCCCATAAATCTAAGGAATGAGGATTTTGACCGTCCACTCAAGGATGGTGTAAGTGTCCGCACATTATCGTAGCAATTAAAGCTTGTGATTCGTTAATTATGGGATATAATTTCACTATAATGTTTTATTAACTGTAGAAGATAATTTTTTCGAACTACTTTGGCAACCCAGTCCGAAAAAGTTTTCGTCCATTGCTTCTGTGGATGTACCAAGCGCATTGTTTGAGTGAGTATACTCAATAAATTATGTAAAAAGCTAGCTGCGCTTTGAGATGATTCGTTGGGTACACTCACTAAAATTTCGTCCACTTTCACAAAGTAGCCAGCGTTTTTAGGGAAAGGTCATCTCGAATGCAGCTGGCGTCATATTCCTCTATGTAGTTGATGATATTTACT